CAGTTTCAGTCTCCATTTCTAAGTATAGTTTTGTGTAAGAAGAAAGGAAGGTGACCACTGAGACTAAAAAGAGTCACTCACATAACCATGAGGTGATTTAATGAGATCGATAGGATTGGAGATGAGGATATTGAATTATAAAGCTGTATTGCTTAAATTTGTTCTGGTGTTTTTCTTTTCTTTTGGTTTTTTTAATCACTAATAGGATTGACTGTTTTTTTTTCTTCCAGTTCATAACCTGAGAAAAGAGATGTCTTGTTCATTTTCTAAATTTTCATACATTAAGTTCCCCCAACCCCCAGTAGGTTTATGACGAGTTTATCTAAAAAGCTATATGTTCAAATGAGGTGTTTTTTAGGTTTATGACGAGTTTATATAAAAAGCTATATGTTCAAATGAGGTGTGTTTTTTAGGTTTATGACGAGTTTATCTAAAAAGCCATATGTTCAAATGAGGTGTTTTTTAGGTTTATGACGAGTTTATCTAAAAAGCTATATGTTCAAATGAGGTGCTTTTTTATTGGTTTAAAACTAATCTGTTGGAGTCAGTGAGATAATTTTTTTTTTTCTGTGCATGGTTTAAAAAACAGTGTAGTTACAGATGTTATGGCATGAGAATAATTCTTTCACTTTAAATAGCGATTAATTCCTGAAAAAATTGTCGAAAAAATGATGCTATTTCCTGGAATTCTTAGGAATAGAAAATTTCTGAGGGATATCATTCATATTTTCATAAGCAGGAAAGCATGCTTTATTACGCATAAAAGAGTGATATTTTCAAATGCACAACATTTTTATAAGTAAGACCAGTGGTCAGAAGTAGCAAAACTAATGTAGCAGTTACTTTTTTTCTTAGTTTGTAGTGTGATGTGGTAGTTTTTTTTTAAAAAAAAAGTAGCGTAGCGAGTTGTGCAATCCATAAAAACAGTAGTTTGTAGCTTTTCCTGCCAACTACTTTTAAAGTTAGCTTAGAAACAAGATTCAAACACAACAAATTTTTTTTGAGCCCGACTGGTACAAATCTCTGCAAGTCCATCAATGGATGCAATGAGAATTAATAAGAATGTGTGTGGCCGAGTGTTAGTAAGAATAACATATTACTAATATTTAAACTAGCCATTATGATTACCTAGTTGATTTATCACAGTGATCGCACTTTTAAATGAGAATGTACATATGGTAGATGTACATTCACAAGTCTTTTCTTAATGAAACATTGATGTTATTTCAATGAAATGGAACATATTTTCTCTGCAATTTCTGATAGTTTCTCAGAGAAAATAAAATAGCATTAAACACATAACAAAATTGCAGGCATTTGATAATTTCCTAAAATTTCTAAAATTAAATATTTGCTGTTGAGACATCAATAAAAAATTGAAGGTTAGAAGAACAAACTTGTAAAAAATGGTTAAGAATAACAAACTGGCTCATTTTGTTAGACTTAACCGTTTTTTATGAATTTGTTCTAGATTGAATGAATAAATATTTTCTAATAATTCCTCATGTTTAAATAAGCCAGCTTTTTATTCAAATCATATTGAACATGAGTTTAAATTAAGTTCTACAGGAATTTTTGTCTCCTACAATTAGTGAAATAGTGACTACATTAAAAAAAAAAGTTAACTACAAAAATAATGTCGTTTTTCCAACTACTGAGTCGGACCACAGATAACTTATGAAACTTTTTAAAAACCACTTATTTTAAAATGCTGCAAGAATAATTTTAGTTTAGGTCAAGTTTTAAGTGGAGGTTTAAAAACAGTTTTTCAACCAAGGCTGAACTAGACAAATTCAATTGTTTAAGTAACTAGATTTAATGAATTTAAATTGTTGGGAGCTACCTCCATTTCTTCAACTCAGGAATGAATGGTTTGTTAACTAAATGAATCACTTAGCAAATATTTCACTCGTAGGAAGTGGGTAATTTTTTAACAACACCAATTTAAAATTATGGAGGAAAATAAAAACAAAAAAAAAAACTATAAAATATGTAACAAAATTTGCAACAAGCTAAACACCACGGTTTTAAAATCATAACAAAGTTAATTTCCAAAATCTGAAAACATTTATTTAAAATTACTGCAGTATATTTTATATTCAAGATGCTGTAATAGAAACAAAGCAGGCATTGAAACTAGTCATGGTTAAGCATAAAATGTTATTAAATTCATGAAGATGCAATTTACCGATGAAAAAATATTAATAACTGCAAAAATTAAGCTAGCAGACTAACTAAATAACATGAAAGAAGAGCAAACTAGCAGTCTAAATTCAACAAATCTTTTCTTTTAGCTGTAAACAATTTATTATAAAAAACACAATGCAAAAATAAATAAAGAAAACATTAGTCATAAGAACATAGTTGGAGATCAGAAAAAGAACCCAATTTTTTAATAATAAATTAGAAAATAGATCAATAGTAAAGAAATATTTTAAAAAGAATTATAGTAAAGATATTAAATAAACTTGTCTGTAATTAACAAATCTTTATAGATCAAAAAATATTTTATGGTTAATTTTATGCAGTTTAAATTAATTAATTAATGTATTAAAATGATCATGCCTATCAATCTAAGTAAGTTACTAATATATCATGCATGTCTATGCTGAAATAGCCGTGAAAGAAGCAAAATATCTAGAGGCAAGTGACTTTAGAGCATGTAAAACTGCCATGTTCTTACCTTCAACTTAGGCCGCCATTTTGATGATTTGGGCAATCTTTTTTAAAGAACATTCTCAATCCAATTAAAAGCTTTTATTTATTTTAAACTTATAATTAAGAAACATAATTTTAGCTATCATATAAACTATCGTAGTCAGTGAATATAAAAATTGATTAAATACATTTTATTCATAGACAATAACTTGAAAGGTCATTTTTAAATTATAATACTGTCTTATCGAATCTAGAATACAAATTATTTTGCGAAATTTAATTCGAGATTTGTCAAATTTACGTTTGTCAGTTTCAGTTAATAAAAATTACATTTTCTCCAAAATTTAAATTTGTATTTAAGAACAATATAAAAGTGACAAAAAAATTAAACATATACTGAAAAAGCATTAAAAATTAATCAATGAAGCTTAATTGAACAAAAGTAACTAAAAAAAAAGAGGCAAAAGGCTCTTGATTTAGTCAATTTTGAATGTGGATCACAGCTGCAATTAAATAATAAACTTAAAAACATGAATGCTCTTCAATTTCTAAAATGCAAAAACTTTGAATGATGAAGTTGTTTGAAAAAATTTACACAGCTTAACAATTCAGAAGTTTTTTTTTCTTTTTCTTCAAATACCATTGTGAAAATGTATCAAAAAGGATCATACATTTTTTATTAATGTACTTACTTTCAAGTGAACTAAATTTGCTTCAGTTTCTTACCTTTCTCATTTACTTATTTTTTCTAAATTACACACAAAGGTGAAATTTTAATATTTATTTAAAATAAATTAATACATAAAAATGAATAATTTCATACGAATAATGCTTTCTTGTTTCTTTTCAAATAAATAAATTTTACGGTGCTGATAAAAATATTTGAGTTCAAATTAGTATTAATTCCTTTCTTTGATTGCCACATACTCCATAAAATTTACTTTAGCAACCAGTTTTAATAAATGGTTGCAACAATAAAAAAATAATATTTGATATTTTCGATACTTTCCTTCATTCAGAACTGCACAGTGAGCTATTGCCGACAGTCTGGAAAACATCCCTGAGGATGATTCGGAGACAACATACATACGTCACATAAAAGTAATCAGGGTGAGTAGTCAAATTATTCAACAAAAAATAAGCACCTTTTAAGCACTCAAAAAATATTATAATTAGGCAGGGCCGGAAAGTTTTTGACAATTGATGGTTTTATCTTGTTTTAATCGTCATGTAAAAAAAAAAAAACCTTTTGGCATTGTTTTTGACAATTGTTAAAATTTTATCATGTAAATCGAATGGCTTTTTCATATGCTACGGACTGACGATGCGCCGAAATAGATTGACGTTTAATTAATTGTGAAAACGTTGAATTGAACAATGTGAACAGTGTCTTTCTGCATAATTCGTAGCAAAAATCAACATGGTAAAGGAAAAATATCATTTTAGAAAAGGAAAAATTAAGCACTTTTTAAAAGCACCAAAAGAAAAAAGCACCTTTAAGGGCTTTTAAAAAAGGGAAATCGAAAATAAGCACCTTTAAGCACTTTTTAAAAACGCTACGCACCCTGGTAATTATAAATAGAAATCCTTAATGACACCATCAAATGATTAACCCCTTTCCTATTTTAAGAGATAATAATATACAGAACAGTCATGGGCATCGCTCGAGTCAAATTCTTGAAAAGGGAAAAATTAAAACACACAGTCACACTAGTTCTTTAAATTCCATCTCATAACAACAACAAAATCTTATAACTTCTAAACATTAGTAAAAAGATTAACTTTTTATTTTTACCTTTAATGAAATGAATTCAATAATGATTGATGAAAAGTTTCACTGAAAGTCAGAAATATTGAGGGGAGACTTTTAGAGACCATGGAAACAGTCCTATAAATTTTGGTCGCACATTTTGCTATAATTGTTTTTTTCTACAGGAATGTTAGAAAATATATTACAAAATATATTTATGTAAAATAACAGTTTTTTTTCTCTTTTTTTTAAAGCTTCAAAGCTGTGTAAAGCAAAATTTGTGCTTTCAGAATATGAAACAGTTTGCTTTTGGATAAAAGAAGTTGCAAAGCTGTTTAGAGTAAGCCAATAAGAAGAGAGACAAAGAAATTCATCAGAATTATGATTGTGTGAGAAAGGTGCGATTTATAAAGAAAAATGAGAAAGAATTTTAGTTTGATTATTTTAGCAGCTCCATTAAAATGTTTCGTATTTATGATTGTAAAAGAGTTGAAAGCTGAAAAATTTCAATGAACTATAATAGAACATAGTTTTTTGACGGCAAAAAATCTCAAATATTTTTATTTTATTAAATGAAAAATAAAATACTCACCCCTAATTCCATAACCATTACATCAATAACGCTTCCTACAACTGTAACAAAATCGAACGTATTCCATGGATCTCTAAAAAAATTCTTTAAAAACAAAAGATATATTATTTTAGGAATTTTACATGGAATTATTCAACAATCATGTAAATCAAATGACATTCATGCAAATAAAGCATTCAGTACATTATTAAGAAGTTTTTAAAACCCTCTGATGCTCCAAAGAATAGAGAAATTCTGGAAATGTTTCATTTCTTTACACAAATTTTGATTCATATAAGAACATGGAAAAATAACCCCTTTCTCTAGTAAGGGGTAAATTGGGGTTAGATACATTTCAAGAGACTGAACTTCATTTGTCGGACCACCAGAGGGTAAAAATTAATTATTGAATTTAAAAAAAAAAACAAGTATTATATTCGCTTAATCCACTAATACCATCATATTTTTTTAATATTTGAATAGATGGAATAAGAAGTATTATTTTGTTGAGACAAATATGAATAATATTTGCATTTGAATAATAGATTAATAATTACTGCATTTTTGCATTCGCAAAATTTTAAGCAGGAAAAAAGTGGATTAAACAATTACAAAAACGTAGCATTTTAAGTTGCACATTCTGCTGCATGTGTGTTAAGTTTTTTTTTCTGCTAAAATATTACAAACTATACATTTAAAAATTCAAAATCAGGGCCTTTAGTTAAAATTTAACGAATGAAACAGTAAAATCCTTTTTCAATTTTAAAAGAATATATAAATCTATTGAAATGTAACACGATGGATATTGCATTCAAGTTCTCTTTTTAATTACGATAAATATTAAGAAAGCACCATACTGAAATCAATGTAAAGTATGAATGATGATTATTAAACACAATGTCATAGGATATTTGAACTTAAACTATAAGTAAGACAGCAGAAAACTTAATATCATATAAACAATTTAAATTTAGAGGTAATTTAAAGCAATGGAAAGTATAAAATGTTATAATTAACACACTTTTAAATGTTAAATCTATTAAAACTAATGAAAGTTATTTCTATAGCTTTTTTACCATACATGTCATAAATTAGATGGAAAATCTGGCTTTTCGTAAATGACGACATAATTTTGCAATACTTTAGGCTACTTATAAAAATCTCCAGTATTTCCAATTCAGCCTGATATATCTTTTAGTTTAGTTTTATCACAATCAGTACATACGCCTTTAAGCTAATTTTTCCCCCCCATACATATGTCGTAAATTAGATGCAAAATCTGCCTTTACACCAATTAGAAAATGCATAAAAAATTAATCAATTTGAATTCACAAAAGCTTAGTATAATTATTCTTGCTCTCTGCAGGCACTTTGAATACAGAACTAGAATTAGTTTTAATTTTAGTTCATTTCTTTTGTTTGAGTTCCTTTTTAATAAGCTTTTATTTTATTAAGCTCATTGTAATGAACTTTCAATACTGTGGGCTCATCGTGAACACAATAGATCAGGCAAATTAAGTGATGGATAACATATTCGTTAATGAGCCTAACGGTAAATGGGTTTATTATAGTAGATCTAAAAACTAATAGACTGAGCCGAAAATACTGGATACTACAACTAGCTTAATTCTATCGCAACAGGATTTTTTAAATAAAAGTTTACAACATATATATAATAGATGCGTGTACCAACATGAAGTAGAGTTAAGAAATGCCAAATAGCATAGGCGCAGTAGATCAGTGAGTGAGTAAACCTAAATGAGATCAGTCAAATAATTTATTTTATAATTTAAAATTGAGTTAATGAAATTTTTTTTTGGTTCCAACTAATCAGTCTTCCTTAATTTTGATTTGAAAACGTAAACTATTTCTTTATATTATGAGACAGGAAATAGAAATTTTTAAAACAATAATGTTTTTAAAGAAACAAATAATATATATTAAAAAAGATTCAAGAAAATGCATGATTGTTGTTCAAAATATCTAAATATTTACTCTTTTTCGGATTAGATGGAACACTGTAATGAATGAGGATAAAATATGACTTTGTATATTTAAATAGTATTTCTTAAACAGTGTTATTTATTGTAATAAGCTTGATTCATCTCGCTCAAGACATCACGTTTCTCTAATTTTTTAAAACAAAAATTTAATAGCATCTATCATAAATATAGTTTTAATTGCAATTAGAATTTTTGTGATTATGTTTCTTATTTTAACTTATTAAATTTCAAATTCTGATATTGAAGACATCGTTTGTTCAATATGCCTCCATTTTTAAAAGAAAATTTTTTCATTTGCAGCTGAAATGTTATAAAAATCAATTATAGTTGGAAGTTTTAAGCAAATTAATTGAAGAAATTAAGTTCATTATTTGCAAATATTACTAAAGAGAAGCCTTGCATCATTTACTAACATTTCATTTGTGAAACTTGCTGGAGGTATATGTAACTCTGTGTAAACTGTAATCTTATATTCTAAAACCTTTTAATCAAGAAAAATATAAAGACTTGAGTTAAGAAATTATTTTTTATGTATTGATAACTATTTTTTATAAATTTGAAAAAGGATTTTACTGTGATTATTTAGTTCAATAAAAGAAAACTGCAAAATACTTGTAGATGAACCAGATTTAGCTGAGCTAGTTGTTAAGCCAGTAGAGACAATATGAATGCATTCTCCACATCACAAGAGCGATTGGAGTAATCATACATATTGCTCATAGTTTATTCATACAAATCTTGGAAGTAATTCTTGTTGGCGCCAAAAAATTACTAAGAGTATATATTTTACAGGAGGGTCTGTCACTGTATTCAGCTTAAAAGCTTAATCGCTAGAACTAATTAATCAAATGCTGGCATATTGGAGAAAATTAAATCGGTTTTTGTCTTTTAAATTTAGTTAGAGTAAAAAAAAAGGGGGCAAATATTGGCACCTCTCTTTTAGAGACATGACCGTTCGTCATTAAGAAAAATATAAGAATAAGAAAAATATTCTTCAATATTATTTTCTAATTTTTAAAATTTTAAATACTTGATTACAATAGCAATAAAGGTAATAAAAGCAACATTACTAAACATCAAATAGCATTAGAAAGTTCTTTCATACTTTTCCCAATATGTATAGAAGATGAAAGCAGAGCTGTATGAAAAAGTAAATATAAGAATTAAATAAAAACAATGTTTATAAAGAAACACTTAACAGTTTTTTTTAATAACGCCAATGGTTGTGTCTATAGACATGGTTAAAATATATTATTAAAATCTCCAGGCCTAACCAACCCAGACTATTACCTATTTTTAAAAGCTGGAAAAATAAAGCCCACAAAAAAAAAAAAAAACTTTTAATGTGCAGTAGATAATTCCTAAAATTTTTTTTTTTATTAATTTTGAACTGAAACAAAATTGAAAATCAAGTGTTTTTAGAAATATTCTAATTTTCAAATAATAAACTCAAACCTATATTAAAATTTCTATTATTTATATCTAACTAGCACTGATATGGAATCATTTGTATAAATTTTAGAATCGTTCTAAAGGAGTATACTTCATTTGATATTTTCACAGCTCATGTTAAGATTATAAATTTAAGAAACTATCAAATGGTAACTGTAATGGCGCAAAAATATAATTTTAAATTTTCGATTATTTTTCTTTTTCAAATATAACTTAATTATTCTGGAAGAATGCTTTGGAGTGCGTAGTTTTTCTTAATGGAGTTTCTCGATATTGTTTATTCCTTGATATCCACACAAAGAATAACAAGGTAGATTTTCACCTGCTTAGCAAAATCAGTTTTTCTATATTATTGGATCATAAGGCAGTTTGTGAGGGAGATATAATTTTCCACAATGGCAAAAATGTCAGAGGTTAGAACAAGTAAAAATGGAAATCTTGTTAAAGTATTGTCTCTATCAAACAGTCATCCAAAAAAATAAACCTTGTTCATCACTGAGTTAATAATACAAAATGCTAAATTTAAAGTATTGTTAAAAACAATTTTTGCATTTTACAATTGTATGGTGATAGTACTTCAATTTAATTTATTGAGTCTTATGTGCAGAGCTTCAACAAGAATATTTTTTCTGGGAGGGGTTTTAAAATTAAAAAATTCAGTTTCCTTTTTCATAAATTTATCGGTGTTGCATTTTATTAATTTGTAAATAAAATTAATTAATAAGCTGGCAATTTAACCTCCAAATCATCCTGGGGTTAATTCTAGAAGTAAAGTTTAATTCTATAACCTTTCATTTGGCTGTACCTGTGTGTTGTAGCATTACTTCCAGGGTTGCCACAGAAAAAATAGAACAAATAGTTTTGCTTTCAGTAGCTTAAAGCATGAAAATAGTTGCCTAAATAAGTACAAAATTTTTCCAATAATATGACTAAAATTTAATTAAATGACTTAAATATCATATACCATGATCATTTTAGCCAAGTTGGCGGCAAATATAATTTTTAGATAAACGTTGGTGTTCTAGCACTAAATTTTCAGATTTGCAGAAAATTATGAATATAGTTTTAATTACTAGAATTCATTCATAAAAATACTTTCATTAAAAAATACATACTTTTTCTAAAAAATTTTCAATTTTATCAATAATTGATTTAGAAAATTTATTTATATACAAATATACATATATATTGTGAAAAGTGATTACTCAAATTCAAAATTCACGCATCGTAATATCGTATTAAAAATTGTTTCTTTTTTTAAAAAAAATCATACTGAATTTAGTAGCAATAACCGTTGAAAAGGTGATCGAGAAACAAAATAAACTTACAATGGAATCTGTGTAAATTGAAAAGTGATGATGCAAATTTGCAATTCAAAATTTCAAACATTTTTTATTTAAAAAAAAAAAGTCATTGTGTTCAGAAGCTCCCGAGGAGGCGCAGGTTTTCAACTCAATTTATGCTTAAAAAAAAACATAGCTAGCAGTAGAGACAAGTCTCCCAACAATCTCTTTTTCTTGAAAATAGTTGCTTTCTTAGCATTTTCAGGCAAAAAAAAGCAATAAATTTTTTTTTCTTTCCACTATATTGGATGTCAAGAAAATGGGTAATTTTTAGTTCAATTTTTGAGTGAAGTGTATAATATAAATTTTTATGCCATCATTGCAAAAAAAAAATAAATAAATAAATAAAAATAATAATAATAATTTTTAATACATTGGAGGTTCAGATAGCTAAATTTTACAAGTGAATCTTACCACTCAGCATGGCTATAGTAGAAAAACAGTAATAAATATGAGAACAACAAAATTATATTAAATAAGAAATTTTATTATAAAGAATGTTAAAAAACTATTTACTAATAAAATGGTCTGCAATCAAAGTGGATTTGATCTTCTACTTTCTTTTCAAAAAAAAAAAAAGTCCCCTAAAGATTTGAAGATATTCCCCCCCCCCCATTTAACTACAAGGAAAAATTTCCAACATAGAATGTAGTTAAAGATGCTTTTAAATTTCATAGCAAAAGAGATAGGGAAAAAACCAACAAAAAAGACATTAGTAAAATTAAATGGTATTCAACATTAATTAAAGATATTGATATCTCAACAAATTTTTACTTCATTAAAGCATGAAAGAATACTTACATTATATTAGATATTTCTTAAGAGAAATCAGTCAACAATTTTAAAAGTGATACTTTGAAATTTTATACATACACTAGGGGGCAAAGCCCCCTGTTCGCTACCGCTCACCAACCCCAATGATTGCTTCGCAATATTGTTATTCGCAATATTTGTTTTTTCTTGGCAGAAAAAAGTTTTTCTACTAAAGTTAAAAATATTCACTTAACATCTATGTACTGACAGGAATTCTGTTTACTTACGCTCTTGCGCCTCTACTTCCCACGTCCAAATATTACNAAAAAAAAAAAAAAAAAAAAAATTAATACATTGGAGGTTTAGATAGCTAAATTTTACAAGTCAACCTTACCACTCAGCATGGCTATAGTAGAAAAACAGTAATAAATATGAGAACAACAAAATATATTAAATAACAAATTTTATTATAAAGAATGTTAAAAAACTATTTACTAATAAGATGGACGGCAATCGAAGTGGATTTGATAATCTACTTTTTTTTTTTTTTTTTTTTTTTTTTTAAAAGTGCTCAAAAGTTTTGGAGATGACCCCCCCTCCTTTAACTACAAGGAAAAATTTCCATATGCTTTAGATGCTTTTAAATTGCATAGAAAAAAGAGATAGGGAAAAAACGAACAAACAAGACATTAGTAAAATTAAATGATATTCAACATTAATTATAGATATTAATATTTCAACAAATTTTTACTTCATTTAAGCATAAAAGAATACTTACATTATATTAGATATTTCTAAAGAGAAATCAGTCAACAATTTTAAAAATTATACTTAGAAATTTTTTTATGTTGAACACACTCATATACATATAAAGTTAAATACACCGAAATTATTTTTTTTTTCTACTTAAATTTCCTTTTGAGTTCATTTTTATTTGAAATAGACTACCACCCATGTTTCTTTTATCATTCTAGATACAAGGTCAGATAGTACATAGTTGAGAAGTAGAATCAGTTACCACTAGGGGTACAGATTCTAGTACTTATATCCAAATTTCAGAAGAAGTTAAATAAATTTGATTTATTCACCCAAAAAAAATCACTATAATTATTAATAAATTAATTTAATAGAGTATTATAAATAAAAAAATTTTTTGTGATTCACTTTAAAAAAAATCACATTAAAATTCCTGACTAAACTAAATTTTTTGGTGTTTTGATCTCAAATTAATGCCATTAGTGCATGTATATTTAATTTCATTCAATTATGAGGTTCTCTTAGAACTGAGGTTTAATGTGGCAGCCAATGGGTTCTAGTAAAAGGCAGCTTGGGCGCAATGCTAACCATTATGCGGTTGGTCACAAAATTATGGAGCCTTAATTTCCATTGGCTCACAATGTGTTGAAGTGGAAATGTTTTAATTTACTTTTCGAGTTCTCTTAGGGTTATTTTTCGTCAACCAATTTGTATCAGCAAAAAGTGGGAAATAAATAATATACACTGTAATAAAATACATTATTTAATTAAATCACACTGAAACAAATTTGTAAACATTCTATATCAAGGAAGTATCAAAGATGTCAAACTGAATTATTGATACCTGTAGATTTGAATTTAAAATTTGTCACCAGCAATGAGTTGGAATTAAAAAAATATCCATAGCAACAAAATACATTAATAAATAAGTTTTGATAAAACAAACTTAGAAATCCTTAGCATAAATAACTTAAATGATTTACTTGTTTAATACAAATTGGAAATTGTTTAATACAAATTGGAAATTTGTATATTTTATAATCAAGTAATATCTATATCACCTCGGTTTATTGACTCTATTAACAAAAATGATTGCTACAAAATATTTTGTTTTTATATTTATAAACTTTTTGACTAAAAAAAAATTAAAGAAATTTTTTAAAATGAATAAAGCTACAAATGTATAGTTATGAATGATTAAAAAAATTGCTGTTAATGAAATAAACCAATAAAGGATAGGTTTGTTTTGAGTCTCAAAACCAATTTAAATATGGGAGCATGAAATAAATTAGTACCAAAAATTTAAATTGGCAGTCATAGGACAGAGGTTACGGCACAAAGCTATAATTTTGTATTTATCAGGTTCTATAACCGGTGATTTCCCCAGCTTAAGATTGACGGGTACCAGATTGTTCGGGAAGTACTGGTCTTTACTTCCAGTGAACTGATTACATTGCTACCATCATGTCAACGGTTTATAACAGTGTTTCTCAAACTTATGACTTTTGTGTACCCTTTCCAAATTGTTTGTAACGCTGTGTACCACTAATAAAAAAATGAATGCATTTTTTACTATAAAAATATTGCACAAAAGTTAAAAGTCGTAACTGGTTGTTGGCCCCACTAATTATTAACTGTTAACTTTGCAAAAAATAGCCAATAGAAAAATTTACAATCATAAATTTTCATGGCTAGCTTACATTTTTTAAAATTTTCGTTTGCGGCAAGATACTTTGCATAAGATACTTTGCATAAGATACTTTGCATAGTTCTCCTGGCCAAGAACAGCTAGTCGCAAAATTTTAATTTTAAAGTGCTTAAAATGAGTAGTCTTATTAGTACAGTAGGAAACCGATTATTCGGAACGATCGGGACCATCGCTATTCCGGATAACTGATTTTTCCGGTTTTCTGAATGGCTACAAAAAGTCGTTTTTCTTATTGTTAAACACAACTAAAAAAAATATATATATCTGGAAATAATCTTGAAAAAACAAAGTAATACACTAATGATTATTTCCAAAATGATGCTAGGGTAAACATCTTTCAGAAAAGAAAGAAAAATCCTAAAATCTTATGAGGAAAAAAAATTTTTTTTAAAAAAAAATAGCGGGAAATTTAATTAAATATTGTTCCGGTTTTTTGGTTTTCCGATTTCCGGATAACGGGTTCTGTACTGTAGTATAATTCCTTATGTAGAATAACATAATGTGATAAATAACATTTATTTAAGGCTGCAAAAACTAAAGCTTGGTAATTCCATTTTACATCAAAACTCTGCTTTCATCTTCCATTTTGCCAGCAATAATTTCAATAATGTCATTATTCTAAATAAGTTACAGGAAATCCAAACCTTGCATCCAAAAGCCACAAGCTTCAGTATACACTCTAGCAGGAACATAGACGTGAAAACTTCGTTCAGGTAGCTTAAAATGTCTAGGTACAAATTGCTTGCGTTGTGGTACTACAGGCGCAGGAAGGGTGTATGAAGAAAAAGAAATAATAATAAAACAGGGCAGCAGGAGTAACAAAATTATGACAAAATATCACATAGGATGGGGGCAAGGTTTTAAAACTGCAAACACATAAAACCAAGCAACTATATGAACTCAGCAAATCATACCTCCAACTGGAGTACAAATTATTACCATTAAAAATAATTTCAGGATGAAAAAAAAAGGAAGGTTTTATTTCTATATTAAAAACCAGTTGGATAAAATAAAAAAAGTAACAAATTAAGTACATTAAAATGCACTTTTTCATATTAGAAAATATTTGAATTAACTTTTCTACAAAATAAAGTTATCAAATGCAACAATTTCATCATAAATAAATTAATCATGCATTTCATTCTCATAGAAATGAGAAGAACAATTAATGTTATATGTATATATTTCATGCTAAACTTTTTATTTGATAAGTGGAAATGAAAAGTGCCCGGAATTACGAGTGCTTGCTCGGCTTTAGTGTGGGCAGAGATGCACAGCATGCAGTCAGGCATAGGATCGAACGAAAAACTACTAGAGGCAGGAAAGCAAGACTTAACGCTAGTATAACATATTATTTTACCTATTATTTCACACAGCAACATCATTTATGCAAATTTTAGTAATAAATATACTAAAACACTGTAACTAAAGTTTTAATCCTTCAAAGCTAAAAAAAAGTTGCTTTTTTATAACTGTTATAAGATTTATAACAGTTAATCATGACTGTTGCTCATGTCCAGTCAGTGGGCTACATGACAATTATGAAAATAGTGCAAAATGTCAAGATAAAAAAAAGCCACAGTTTAGTTAAAATGACAGCTGTAGATGAATTAAATTTTATTCAGTTACTTAATTGCAGCATTGTTTGGATTTATGAAAATATTCAAAAAATTAATTATTTATGGATTTTAATGGTTTTTATTCAGTTGGAAAAATCTTGCCATTTTTATTTTTTAAAAAATATATGCCTTTTGTTCTTTTTAAAGTTCTGACAATTGTATCCAGAAAATATATACATATTTAAAATAATGCTTTGCTTTAAGTTTAATGCATTCAAACTGCGACTTTTTTCATTTTCTTAAGTGAAAAACATTGGAAGAAAATCTTTAACAAAAAAGTCAATTTTGAAACAACGTATAATAAGGTACTTTAAATTATAAAAATAATAAAAAAATAGAAAATTCCATGAATCAAATTTTTTTTTCTTCATAAATGGAATTAGCAATTGCGTATAAGCTAAGAAGGATTCAAAACTTTAAACCATAGTGCATTACAAGCTAGTGTACATAGCATGAAGTTGAGCGACCACTGCTGACAATGATGCATAAATAGGAATAACACAATTCTATATGCATTAATGATGCTGCTAAACAAGATGCTAGCAGCATAGTAGAATAATTTTATCATTCAATGTCCAATATGCATTATCACATGCAGCAAAATTGCAATTTAATTAATCAAAGGTTCAGGTGGGATTCAATAAATAAAGAATGCAATTACTTAATTGCAAACTTTAGTATTAAAACATATATTTTATCTACAACTACCTCCAATATTACATATAACGCTCAAGTTTAAAAGAACCATAATATATACAAATCTAAAAACTACTATTACTTTATCCCTTTGAAATAAAAGCTCATAGCTTAAAATTGCTAATAAACGATATTGGAATCAAAATAAAAGTAAACAATATAATAAATCAGATCATCTTAACTACATAAAACTAAGCAAAGAATCTTGGAAATGTATTTGTAAATTATAATTTAAAAGTCAATGCAAATTATTTCATTAATTATTTAGATTGATTACTAAGGTATAAAAATTAAAATGTCTCATTTGATAATAAAAAGTTCAAATGTTTCAAAAATGTCCATTTTGAAATTTAAAAAAATGCCCATTTATAAACTCAAAAAAAAGAAAAAAAAAAAAAAAAAAAAAGTTTAGACTTTAACAGATACATTATGATATTAAGTCAGAAATATAATTTCTAATTGAAGTTGTAAGATAGAATGATGAAAAGCTTCCAAAACATTTTAATAAAATAATGCAAAATGCAATAAAACTATTAAAAGAAATAATTTTATAAAATGCATATAAGTACTTTAATACTTTAGCTCGTAAGTGTAACAGAAGTAGGAAAAAGTTTCACCTCTGATGCTAGAGCATTTGTAAAAGTGATAAGTTTTTTTTCGAAGTGCAGTAAAAATGGCAGCATTATATTAACTAATGTATGCAGAATCCTGCTGTGGCAATAAGCTTGATTGCAAGTTAGACGATGATTTTATCTTTTCAATAATAAAATTAGCTGAAAAAATTTTGTTATTTGTTTTATTTTAGTTCAATAAAATGCTTGAATGTTTTTTTAGAGGATTTTAAGTGTTAAAGAAGACAAAAGTAATTTTTTTTCTTAACATCTAAAGTAAATTACAATTTGATTTAACTGCTATAACTTTAATTTCCCTTGTTTTTAAACTTATTTTTATGTTAGATATAATGCAGTTTTACATGCTTGACAACATTAATCTATTACACCTAATAAAGGATAAATATTAATGAGTGATATTGCTCATCATCAACAGAAATGCATTTCAATGAATTATCTATACAAATTTACTTCCTCAATATATAGCAGAATTTATAACAAAACGGAATTTAATAAAAAAGAAGTGAAACAAGAGTAAATTAAAATATAATAGAGACACTTAATTGTAGAGTGCTTACTCTTCAAATCTATTAAATGTTACCTATAAAAGTTAATTGGAGGTTCGACTGTGACAATGGAAAATAGAAATTTTGAAAAACCCATTACTGTTGTGTCACAGTGGAAAGTTCATAAATGCAAGTTCCTGCTTATTACTGAAACCCTTCTAAGCAAAATATGATATATTGAATAGTGGAGTTGAAAAACATTCATGGGAATGTTTTTATACATTCTACATTGCTAAACTTAGTTACTTTGAAAATTCTACATGAATTATGCTTAATTTATAAGGTAAGAATATTCCAATTAAGTTTCATAAAAAATATTTAATTATAACTATATAGTTTCAAAATTAATATAATTTTTACAAATTCACTTTTAATTTGCAACTCAACAAAATTGACTATAATATTATGCAAGAAATTGCAACTTTGATTTACAAACCCTACGTCAAAATTACATTTTCACTGGAACAATGTATCTGTTAAAGTCTATGTTTTATTGGACAAAATCAAAAGTAAATAAGATATAATACTTAGTTAAAATTTCTCTTTCACTTTAGAAGTGCGTTATCACTTGTCTTTGAGAGTTAATATACTATTATAGATCTAAAAAAAAAACTCTTTTGTAAGTGCAAAATTAAAAATAACAATACTTTTTGGTTTATTTAAGATTTATTTTGTTAGTGGAAGCCAGCAGTTAATTCAAAGGGCTAAAGAATAATTCTAAGGGATTGTCCCGCCTTACCCTCGTTCCGAATGCCACGATCTTGAGCAAACATTCAAGGGAGAAAAGTGAAGTGAAGGTAATATTCATATACTTCAAGATTTTTGTAAACAACGGATCTTGTCCGTCGTGCTATAGTAAGTCACAAATAAAGATAAAGACATTTAAAGGGAGAGAAAGTTTGAATTCAAAAATATCACAATAATCATAAATAAATTTCATTTTAAGAAGAAGAGACAAAATATATTGAAAGCAAAAAACAAAATAAACAAATAAAAATAAAACAAAGGTCTTGATGGATTGTGCAAATAAACATGTAATACAAGATAGCCATAGTTAAAATTGAAATATTTGGTGCCGAAAACTACCACTGAACTGTTCAAGTGCAATAAATAGGGTTAGTCATACAAATTTACAATATTGATAATTTTTTTAAATGTAATACTTAGCAACGCATTTTTGTGTAGAAAAAAAAAGCAAGTCGAAAAAAAGATTTTGATAAATTTTAATATTAAAAAAAAAAAAAAAATCAAACAATTTTACATAAAATAGAGGCTATATACTCACAAAACATTTTAATTACAAACAAGACTGACTTTTGAAATTTTTTCTCAGGGGAAGGGGTTGATATTCAGGTAGCTTAGGTGGTTATAAGAGGAAAAAAACATGAAAGCATCCACTAATTCTTTAGTGCATGGAACACTATGTATGAAAATAAGATTTTGATTTCCTTGTGCAGAATATAAATATTACATGTATTTTATACACATATATCAGCTATATTTTGTTATATATATCAATTATAGCACATATTAGCTATACTTAACTACATTACGAAAATAACAGTTTAAGTGAAAATTAACCTTTTACTTTTTAAGCCCCCATTTATATTTGACCTTTCCTCCTACTTGCAATTTTTTTCTTTACACTTTTAATTTTTCCTTTTTGTATTTATTTTAATATGAATATCAGAATTTCCTCCACCATGACCTGCAAATAGTATGCACTTGGTTACATTTTGACCCAATAGTTTCCTAGTAATGGAAGTTTCTAAAAGTTGAAATTTTAATCATGGCTATAAAGTACATTTAGAAATAAATTACAAGCCTAAAACGATTATTGTTTTCATTTGAATTTATGAATAAGTTCATATGAGCAAAGCACAAATAATATCATAAAGTGAGAGAATATTTTAAACTTAAAAAAATTATAATTTCAGAGAAATTAAAGGATGAGTGAGTAAAATTAAGATACTCCTAACCATTGAAACAATAATAAGCAAAAATATACTAGTCTACAAAATAAGACGAACCATAAATACATTGGTGTCCAAAATTTAAAGCTTTCATTGTTAATTCAATTTGCCAAATGCTTAGCATTATTGGCACTTAAATTGTAACAAGTGCAGATTTTTTCAACATAATAATAAGACAATCTCTTAGTATTTTTCACTGATATTTTTAGATATGTTTTAAGTTTTAGAAAAACATATTATTAAATCAAAAAATCTTTCATCAATTTCAAAAATCTATCTACCTATTTATATACACAAGTGTTTCATTAACTAACAAAGAAAAAAAATGTCCCCCTCAAAGTAACAATAACTATTTTATTTTATTTAAACTAGGCATATTTTTAATTTCAGATTTTTCATAAATATTTACAATCATAGATTTTAAAATGAACTCATTTTCGGTAAAGATATTCAATTTAATCAATGTAACTTTTTGAGAAAATATGAATGCAACAATGAGTAATGTAATTTGAAAAAGACTATAGACTTTGGACATCTGTGCATTTGTTAAAAAAAATCCTGACAATAAACCAGATAAATATTTGAAGCAATGCTTGATATTTCCACATTGTTGATGAAAATGTCTTGCATACTAAATCATATCGATAAAAAACCATTAAGTAAACAGTAATATAACAAAAGAAAAAATTTTGTTTATGAAAAATATATAATGTAATTTGATAAAATAGTATTTTAGAATATTTAGAAAGAAATACGTTTATAGTATAAACATTCAGCAAGTAGAAACAATCTGCTAGTGTAATTAAAGCTTATAAATATTTTTCTAGTTTTAGAGATGTATTTGTACAAATTAACTTTGCCAGGATTATTTAGATTCCTATGAAAAGTTTAATTCAAGTTATCAATAAATTAATATTTTTTATTATTATTTTTCCCGATGAACTTAAAAACAAATTTATGAGCTTATAAGCCATAGATATAAGTTACCCATAGGAGTTAGCGAATTCTGTTATAAAACTTTCAAAATTCAAAGCGTAAAATTAATTGAGTTTTGAATAAAAATTACAATAACACAAGCAAATATATAATTGAAAGTTTAGTATTAAAATATTATTATTATGTATCTAAGAATTACATTAACAAAACATTAAAAATTAATTTTAATTTAATCAAATACTTAAAGTGTATTGATAACTATCAAAAGCAAATTAAACTAGCAGTTGATCTTTAAGCTATATTTGTGATTTCAATGAGATGCAAGCAACGCTTCATGTTATAGCAGTTTTAATTGATAAAAGAGTGAATTGATATATGTGAGCATAACAATGGTTCAAACACTACAGCCATGCTTTAATTTATATTAAATCATGCTATTAATGATGCACATAAACTATTAGTTATTGGTAGCAAAAATTTGATACAGCTTCACAGTCATTTTTTTTAATTACAAAACAATATCATTTTTACATCATTCAAGTGAAAGTTTGAAAAAAAGTTTGTTCTAAATTTACTTTTAAAACTGTCAAATATATGCATTTTTATAATTTTCTCTTTCTAAAGGTATGCAGTAAAAGGAAATTGCTATTTTTACAAACTACAGGGTGTCCTGTAAATGTTGTGACAAACTTCCAGGGGAGGTAGGTTGCACTATAAAGATCAAGAATTGCATAGAAACACATGCTTGGAGACACCACTAGGGGCACTTTCCTATTATGAGTATAAGTCGCACGTCTTTGAACATTTCTTATTCTTAAAATATCTTAATTTCATGCCAGTTTTATATTTTTAATAGATATCTGCATAAATCACATTAAAATAGACTCAGAAATAGCTGTTTTATTGTAATTTAATTATTTAGCGAGATTGCCCGGTTAATCCCCAAATTACAATAAAATAGTTAAAACTGAACTTATTTTAATGGAAATTTTGACAGTAATTATATAAAGAAAACAAGCATAAATTAAGATAATTTAGAAAAAACAAAGAACCTATTCAGACGCACATGAAGAAATAGTTCACAATAGGAAAGCCTTAGATGACATTTCCAGACATGGATTCCTATTCAATTCTTATGGTTATTTTTACCTTCTCTAAAAGTTTATTGAAGCTTTTACAGGACACCCTGTATATGCAAAATGATTTTAGAATAAAAAACATAATTTTTTTTCTCAGTTCATCAGCACTTTTATGAGATTCAAATTTTTAGTCCCACCTTTATTATATTACCAACTGTTTTCGAAACTGCATATTGAAGAGAATTGAGTAACCTATTTTAATGATACATATCGAATATAACTATTACAGAGTGTTATTATTTGATTGGTATAATCAAGAACTTAGAAGGGGAACAAACTAGAAATAAGCATTAAGATTGAAATGACTGTGAAATTAAATAACATATGCTGTATCAACACCACATAGTAAATATGATAGCATGCACCCAAATTTTACTTTTCATAAATATCTAATTTAAAATTCTCTAACATCAAAGATCAATGCAGTACAGAATATTTAATTTTAATAAACATTCACATACCTCATAGTCATGCGTGAAAATAAGTTGCAATTTACATGTTATAAATGAACAAAACTAAAATTATCGGTGAAAGGTTTGATAATATAACTAGAAACAAAATAAAAGTAGCAATATGTTATTTTGAAAGTGCTCAGTTATGAACAAAGATGAATAAAATTATTTTAAATTATATATGTAAAACCTCTAGTTATATTTTCAAACCTTCATAGTCTTAAAATTTATTCACTAAGATAAGGAGTTACAATTGCATTTGCTTTTACCATCATTTTTAATACTTAGCAACAAAAAAGAATGATAATTAATTAATAAACCTCATTGTATTTTAATATAATACGAATGATATGCAAAAAATTTCCAAGTTAACTTTTGCTTATAAAATGCAGGCAATGGGGTTAGGAAGAAAAAAAAAGGAATACACAAAAATGTTATAGCTACAAATAGAACTACTAGCTTGAGAATTGTTACTTAATATCCATAGAATTAGTTTTAAAATTAATAAATAAAATTATAGAAAAACCTATTTTTGCATTTTATGGAATAAAAGAATTGTATGTTGGCAACTTTACTTATCCTATGTTTTAATTGGCAATAGCTTTACTTATATTTCAATGAGGCAATGGATTTTAAAGTAGATGACTAAATTAGAATTCGTAAACATAATTTTTTTAAAATTATCAGATAGTTACACTAAGATTTATTTCATAACATAATTTAGAATAGTTAAAAAGAATGCAAAAAAAATATTTTCTTTATATACATTCAGTATAGTAAATTTTTTTTTTTATTATTGATAATTTTTAAATTAATTCCGCTGCAGTTTATCAAAAATAATGTTCATTATACTAACGTAACTGTACAAACACTTGTAAAATAAATTAGTTCAAGTGGATAATGTTAATAATTTTCCTGTATTAACTGCTAAATCACTAAGTTTTATTCATAACTGCACATCAAAACAACATTAAGCAGCAAACACATTTTCAGATTAAAATTGACATCAACTGATATTTTTTTGCTGATACTGATGTGCTTTCTTAAATGGTAACAGCTAATGCATCCTAAATGGTAATAGCTAATGCACATGATAAAACTATATGAAACTATAAATAGGAAACACAAATACTTTTGATCATATTTAATTATAACATAATAAGAGTAATAATGGAATATTATGTAAATAAAAGTATGTTAAATATTGATATTTTAAGTGATAAAACAAATGGTAAATTTTATTAAAGATTATACAAATATACACTACATTTTTATAATTTAATATTTGTAATAACAATGTAATCTATGTATATAAACTATGAAAATGTGTTTATATGGGGTAAAAAATATCAAAATTATCACATAAATAACTAAACTAAATATATATATATATATATATTTAACAATAATAAAGTATACATATTTTGAAGGAAAAAATATTTATTTATAGATCTTTATTTAAATAAATGAAGCGGATTTAAATTTTCAACCAAGTAAAAGTTATAAATAATGTAAAATGCTAAAAAAATAACAATAAAAAAAAATTATTAGAGTATTTGCAATCTGCACAAAAAATAATTTGATACAGATCTGTAGGTTATGCTATTTTAATACTTATGCGATAATAAAACATTCCTTTAAACAAAAGAAATAATAAATATTTTAATTAATTTCAAACTTCAGAAAAATGTATAAAATTTAATAGAAAGGGATTAGTTAATTAGCAGTTTTTAAAAAAGGTCAAACTTTGAAAATAACCTATATATGATATAAACAATTCAAGTAGTTTTATCTATACCTCAGAATAATTAAAAAGTTATTACTAATTTTTATTCATTATAAATTTATTACTAAGAAATGATAGTATTATACAGCAGTTATCATACTGCATAATTACAGTTATTTTTATAATATATATATATAATAAATATTCATAACAATATATAATAAATATTCATAACAATGAATAATAAATAAGACTATTGATAAACATAAAAATTGCAGTGGTTTTTAAAACATGTTGCGGGAAACTGCAACTGAAAAAAAAAATGTCAAGTGAATTCCTCTCTTACCTTCATCATCAGTAAAAGAGTATTGCACACAATGAGTAACATGATGAAATATTCAAAAATGGTTGAATCTACCATCAGCCAAATACGATACTTTACACCAGACTTATTGGGTGGCATATATCTCTCTAAAGGTTTTGCGTGGATCGCAAAATCAATACACGATTTCTAAGAAAGAAAATATATATACAAAAATATTTAAAAAACTAATATTAGATCAACATTGTTTGAGAGCACAAATGATATGTATAAATAACAGACAGATAAAATTGTTTTGTTACTATAACAACTATTATAATTAGTAAGAGACACAATAGTCTTAGTACTGATTATAGAATTTGTTGTAGTAACAAAATGAAGAGATAAAATCAATTCAAGGAGGATCAATTGAGATATAACAAGGACAAGATTAAGTGTTCTAGCTGTATGTAAAATTTTAACTATATGGAAAATGGTAAAAAAAAAAATATTTAAGAAAAGTGTATTTTCTGTGAAGGTTAAATTATAAAGGTAGGTACTTCATTTACGTCACACTAGAGCTGCATAATGAGATACTGGTGACGGTCTAGAAAACATCCCTGAGGATGATCCAAAGACATGTCATCGTGATTTTGATCCTCTGCAAAGGGGATGGCTCCTACAGTAGAATAGCTTAACGAGGACCGATACCGCGCACCCTCGGTCCCTACACAGGCTGATAAAAGTGGTCACCCACCCGCTTACCGACCGCAGCCAGTGATGCTTGACTTCGGTGTTCTACTGGCAACCGTGTCTTTACGATCAGTCCACTGCAGGACGTTAACCCATGAAGAGTGTCGTGAAAATGTTCTAACAGCATTCAGGGCTGCTTTTATGAACACATTACCAAATTAACATTACCAATATTAACCAAATTTTTGAATTAACACAATGAGTAAAGAACCACATGCTTTCCCCCCTTTTTTATAAAACATTTTTTCTCACAAAAAAATCAATCCTTATCTCCAGATTTTTTTTTAAAGGAATTGGAAAATTGCTGTATTTGTAAATGTAATAATTTCTATTTTTAAATTTGAACCTACTTAATAAGAAATAAAATTAAAAATTGAACTTTTATACATATGATTTGCAACATGCTGACTATTCTTTACCACATTTGCCTCTCCTAAATCTGAAAAAAGTGTGAAGGGCAGTAATTTAAAAGAAATATTTTTCAATTATCCAGATTTTTCACTATCTGGATCTACCTTTGTTAAAACTGGTTTAGATGATCAGTGCTTTATTGTAAGTCAAAATAAATGTGTCTCCTGCAAATATTTCTTATGTGGTGAGAGGCAAAAGGCTAAAAATTTTCAAGAAATATGCTTCTAATAAGAAAATATATTAACACTAAAGCATGGATATACATATTCAATACTTTCCTAAATAAGAAGGTTTTAAATTTTAGAGTTTTGACTTACTGAAATAAATTTACTACCTACATGTTGTGCTAATCAAAACCTTAATAGGCAAAATTAAAAAAAGGCAATATTTTTCAAGTTATAATAACACCTTTGTGTATGCGCTACTACAAAAGCTAGAAATTTGGCAAATTTTAGGCTTTATTGGTAAAACCTAGGATTTAAAAGGGGCTTGGTAAAAGACCACAATGGAATCTATTAAAGCATACTTCAGACTTTTTTCAAGCCATTTTGGCAAAAGCTAAGTTTTTCAATTAAAACCCAAGATTTACCAGTCTTCGGATTTTTATCGTAACATGAATCTAAAAGACTCCATACATAAGTATTAGTTACACTACATAATTAATCATACAAGGTATTATTAATTATAGTACAATAATATTAATATAATACTTAATTGTTTATACACAAATAAGTGTAGATTTCTAAACGTTTTCTTCCATAGAGATTTTTCCTCAAGATGCTATGTAAGTATAATTTAAATCATATATGTAGTCTTGTTAAAAAAAAATTGCATTTGATAATGTCTCAAAACAGCTTTAAACAATTAAATTCATTGTTTTGCCATTATTGGTCCTTTTGAGAAAAAAAAATTCAACAAGCAACTGATGATTCTTAATATTGTTTTCAAATCTAAATAACTGCAAACTATTTTTTTAAACGAAACTTAAGATTGTTACTTAGAATATCACCAAAAATAAAGTACCACTGATCTAAGAGAAAGATTATACTGCTGAAATTCCTTTAAGCAATTATGCAAGTTTTCAGGCTCTAAGTACTTTTAAAAGAAGATTATTGCTATGATTTTCGGCTTTTTTTTAAACGTTCTATCCTATAACGAAGACTTACTTGGTTCTTGTCTAAATCACCTTCCTCCAGCTCTTTCTCCCCTTGCTCTTGAAAAGTGATAATAATTAAGGCCACAAATATGTTGACAAAGAAAAACGGGAATACAATGAAAAACACTATGTAAAATATAGCCATCTCTACACGAAACCTGGGAAGAGGACCTTCATTTTCATATGTGGAATCCATAGAATGTTGTAAGACTCTGAAAATTAAAGCAAGCAGTATATTAGATTTCTGACAATGCTTTAAACCCTTTGTGGTGCTAACACTTTCAATGGCCTGTATAATAGGCAAAATGAGAAAAAAAAATTATAAATCTAGAGTAATTATTATTTTATATGTAGAAAGGTTCAGTTAGATTGGATACTATACTACTAAGAGATAAGTAAGCTTATTTTATATAGAAACATGCTCTCAAAAGTAATAAATATAGAGTAATAAAAGTTTCTATTAAAAAAATTGTTTAAAGGCTAACTATTGAAAAACATGTTTTCAATAATTAGCTTTACTGATGAATTACAAAATTCAACGCTTTTAATTTTTATCAGTTGAATAACTAACACTCATCTTACAATCATTAGAATTTATCTTTTATCATTACAATTTAGCCGTTTGTGAGATGCTTTTTCTTTACTTCAATTTTTTTTTATTTCAGCAAGAAAAGCTGGTTTCTTTCACTACTCTTCAATGAGAAAGTAGTGCTCACCGGATAAAATCTGAACATTCTTACCCCAAGTTAAAATGGTAGGAAGGGTTAGTCACTATTTTGTAAAATATTAATATAATAAGCAAATGAAATGACTGTTTTAATTTTGTACAACATACATGCACAGCAACCGGGAGCCTTGGCAGTAAGCATTAAAACTTTTTCTAATCACTACAAAATTTTTGAATGAGAGAATGTTTTTAAAAATTATTTCTCTTACATGATGAGCAAGTTCAATAAAAATGATGGAAAATTTCATTCTATAAATAAAAAAAGAAAAGAGGTTCATCATCAAGTGTAAAAAAAATTCTGTGTTTTGCCAATCAGTAAATAGATCAATGATGTTGCATCATATAATTTTTTAAATACTATTTATGAGCATTCAAGAAATTTGGTTGTTTTAGTGTCGCTTTTTTTATATGAATTTACAACATCATTTTGATTTTTTTAAATTCAGTAATCATACTGAATACATGCCGTTAATAAAATATCATGCTAAATTAATGAATCAAGAAAATATAAATAAGGAGGCAACACTTAAAAAAAGTCAGACCCATGAAATTCTAAAAGAATATTATAAAAAATTGCTTAATAGCATTGAAAAACAAAGATTTCAAATACTATTACCGTAAACCGGGGCGAGTCTACCCATTTTAGTTTTATTTAATTTTCACTATTTTAAATTGCAAATAAATTTTTTTTTACCGACGGAGGACTTAGTTCAGACTCTAAGGAAGATGGCGCTGTAGTAGCTTGATCCGTTTTTATTTATTTGGTGTCTTTTTAACTGACCTGTTCAAACGTCTTTTGAGAGATTTGTATTCAAAATCAGCAAACTTTTAGTTGGTGCTCCGTAAGTTTATTATTATTATTACTATTTTCACTTTGGTTAAGTTACACACTTATCTAAGACTAAGATTACATTAATTTTATATGGAAAAAACCAAAAAGAATGTAAGTTTTGCTGTTGTAAACAAAAAGCCAGAATTCGCGGGGCGAGTCTACCCATTCGTATTTAGTTTTAATAAAGCATAATAATATAATTTAGAACTTTGTTTATATTAAAATTAAGTCATTTTAAATGAATTTGAGTATATTATTTTAATTCTGCATTGATAAATTTATCATTAATAAGAAAATTTATAGGTTAAATATAAATGTAAATATAAAATATGTTTATTTTACCTATTTTTTCAATTTTTATATTACAAAATTAACTTTTTTTATTTAATGCAAGTTAAATAAATTATTATTTATAAATTATTATTACCTCCCAAAAGAATGGGAAAAGGATTTTTCATGATTCCCAATGTTTGAATTTCGATTTTGTTAATAATCTTTAATTATTATTATTTATTAATTATTTAATTGTAAATTTATATTAATTTTAATTTATTTTTATCAACAATAATCAGAAAAAAATGTTATTTTATAATGTTAATGATTATAAAAACAAAACTGTGATCAAAATGTGATAATCGATCAAATACTCAATTTGTGTTATTTTATGAATAAAAAAATGGAATATATAATAAAGTTATGAATTTTACTTCATAAATATCCTATATAGTAACTAAAATAACAATTTAATAGTAAAATTTGATTATTTACAATGTTAACATTCATTTTAGTAGAATGGGTAGACTCGCCCCATACGAGAGATTTGTCAGCAGTTCTATAAAAATATACAGTAACAGCGTAACTGTTAATATTTTCTAAAATCGATTTCACAGCTTTAAAGAGGGATAAATAGCGATTCCGAAACACCTATTAAAAGCCTTTTTTCTTTAATATTTACAAAAGTTTGACCACTTGAAAGTTGACAAACTGAAAAAATGGGTAGACTCACCCCGGTTTACGGTATTCTATTTTACAAAGGTATTAGTTATTTTGCACAATTTTTGTTATCTTCAAGCACAGGTAATAAAATAAGGGTTTACTTCACTATTATAATCCATGATAGTAGCAATTTATTGTTTGGAATTAAACCAGTTAAATGTTTGTGCACTCTAAAGAATTGATGGCGCACTTTGTTATACAGATTACGTTTTACTGATACGGCTGGTACAAAATGTCGACCACATGTGACAGTACAACATGGTACACAGCAAGCAAAGGTTAAATTAAAAATTAATAAGCAGTAATTAAAAAGCAAAATGAACTTACGAAGGCCACCCTTCCCCTGTTTGTACAGTAAATAATGTTAACATCGCTGCAGCGACATTATCGTAATGAAATTTACGTTTATCCCACTTCCTTTCCTCTACTTTCGGCGGTTTATCGCCATCACCAAACTTAAAATATTCACCTCTGCAAAAAAAAGTTTCAATTAAACATGATTTTCTTAAAGAAAAATATTGACTTTATTGAATACATCAAAAAGTATAAAATAAGAGATAAAATGCTACATTAAAGTTAAAAAAGAAGCTTTATAACAAACTTCATTTAAAAATTAATTAGATATAGTGAAATTAATAACTGAAATATAACTGTAATATGTTAATTTTTAACTCTTTAGCATAACCCTCCATTACTGCAACCATTCCTTCATAAAATCAGATATATGATGTCCCATTTCCTATTCTATAGACATCATGTCATTTTAATACCCACTAGAACATTTTTGTATTTGAGTGAAGAAATTCACTTTAAAAATATTTAAGGTTAAACATTTTCGAGCTTTCAAAGCAAACATTTTTCAATTGTCAATGGATAGCAAAAGTTTGAGAATTAGAAAAGCATATTGCATCCTCTTGTATGAATTGTGTGTGAGCTTGTAATATGTAAGACTGTGCATATTCAAGATGCAGTTAAATGCAAAACAAAATTTTTTTTTTTACTCTTTCTATATTTTGAATCATACAAGTTTAAGATGTATTGAATTACGAATAAATTCTTTTGCTTTGTAGAGCTAATAACAGAAAAAAATATTTTGACAAAAATAACTTTTAATATGTAAAAAGAATAAAATAGATAGGAAACAAAATATAAATAGATAGGAAATTCATCAATCTTGATATTTTCGTTGCAGTCATTACATTTAAAACAGATAATTGTAAATAATTCCTGTAGCTATATTTAAAACTGCATACTGTTGTTTGAGAAAAGTTTTTGATTTTCCCCAAAGTTACTAAATTTTTCCTAAATGGTTGATCAGTAATGTAGGGAATTGCGTCTCCATTAATAAAAGATTCAAAGAACACTTTAGAACATTGCTTTCGTAAATGACTTAGTAAAACATAATTTTAATTAAGTAGTTAATTACTATACAAAAATAAGTTTTATAATTTATAATCACATAGTTAGATTCCAAACTTTAAAAAGTTAATATTAATAAGTTAAAAATTTACTGCAATACAAAAAAAATACAATTACAAAGTGCAGCGGAAGGAAAACTAAAACTTTTGTGAGATAAATTTTTTTCTACACATTAGTCTACTATAAAACTATCTTAAGCCTTTACAAAATGACAGAAAAAAAAGGGCAACGAAGATGGAATGTAATGTACTTACTGACATTCGTCTTCAGTAAGCTTAGACTGATCAGAACAAAAAAAGAATTTGCCATTGAATAATTGAACAGCTATCACAGCAAATATAAATTGAAACAGAATGTAAACAATGAGGATATTGAAGACATTTTTTAAGGATGTTACAACACAATCAAAAACGGCCTGAAAAAAAAGTCAAACATTTTAGGACAAAAACATACTGAATTATAGTTATTTTAAAATACCAACCATAAGTGGATAACAAATATTTAACTAAAAATTTAGAAAAACACAGATTTGAAATTGTTACTTGGTCAGGAGGAAAATAAAGAAAACTATTATTGTTTTTAACTGTTGTAAACATTTGCACTCAAACAAACAGATGTAAGAAAAATAAATTACAAAAGTAATAACTGAATAAATAAGCAAGTAAAGTTCAGTTAAGAAACACAAATTTTAAAATGTCATGTGATTAGGAGGAAAATTAAGAAAACTAATTTGTTTCATGACTCGTGTAAAAATTCGCACAGAAACACAGGTATAAGTAAAATGAATTACAAAGTAATAACTAAACAATTATGTTGTAAAACTTTGAAAAATGAGTGTATTCAGCTTATCTGTAACTTAGCTACTATTACTAATCTATAACTTCGATAGCAGTGCCCAGCAACAAATCCAGTATTTAATATTTTAATCACTGTTAAAATGAAAATGTTGTTTTTTAAGTTGCAGAGAGATATAAGAAATATATGTAACATAAAACGCTTTGACAAATTTTTTTATGTTATTTCTTTATCTAAATTTTCTTTCTTAATTTATTATTCAAAACAAAACCCTTTCTTACATTCATTATTCACGCCTGGCATTTTAGCTCTAAATTTAGAATAAAAATTGCTAGAATAAAAATTTTAAAATTTTCCCTTAACCAATCCTGAGAAATAACTCGACCAATTTTTTGAACGATTTATAATTAGAATTCCCTTTTTGTTTGTAACTCAAGAGATTATCGGGATAAGTTTGCAAGATTTTCCCAAACTTTTACACGGAAGTACTTTTGTGTGATTTCGATGTTCTCTCAATAGTATGAAATGATATAATAAATAATATTTTCGAATGACCTGGCCTGAGACCTGTTTTATATCACCTTTCAGTAAGAATTTTATATATATAACAAATAAAATTCACATAGTACAATGAAACCCCTAGGGAGGGACCACTCTCTGTTTCACAGTAAAATGGTTGTTAATGGAGGTTGATGGTTCTTAGGGGTTACCTTCATTAAGTTCAAAATTTAAAAAAAATATATGATTTTTCACAAACAATTTTAACTTTAGCCCATGAAAATTTCTTGGAGCGGAAATGCCACTTGTGTTGGCATCATGAAAACTGAATTGATGAATAAATTTGAGCATCAATAAAAATGATCCCTACTGATATAATTATGTGTGAAAACAAATTTACCAATCATGAAAGATAGAATAAACAAATAAACAATTTAAGTTTGTATTTAATTTCACATCATAGAAATTAGTTAGCTTTAAAGCTTGTTTGAAATGCTTAGTTTCTTCTATAATGACTTTTTATCTCTAATTTAATTTTAAATAAATCACTAATAGCATCGTGTAAGTGCACTTTGACTGCAACATGAGGTTAAAGATAGTTTTTTAGAGATTGTTAAAGAGCTCTCTAAATAAGAGCCTCACACAAATATTTTGAATAGATTTTTATCTACTTATTTATTTTGTTAAGATTTCTTGTTTTGATAATTTATTATGTTTCCTTAATTAACCTTTTCTGCATTTGGTGCGAAGGATTTCCGGTCACTAGAAGAGGTTTTGATGGTCTCTTCTAAAGGTTTTCTTCAACACAAAGTCTATGAAAAAAATTCTGTGTATCCCAAAAATGGTCATAAATAGAGGAGGTCATTACATAGAGGTGGTCTTTCCTGGAGGTTTCACTGAATATGCTTTTAATAGTGATACTGTAAAGTAAACTATTAAAAAAAATGAGTTTTTATTTTATTTGTAAAAAAATTTACTTATCAGGGGTCTGTTTAGAAGAAATTTGGGTTCGTTAACGAACCCTTCACAAAATAATTTATCTTTTAATCGGACCCTTCACAAATATGTTTATCTTCATTATTATTTTGTTAATCGAATAAACCCTTCCCTGGGGGAAAGACCGTTAGAGGCAAACTAAGTTTCCCTAAGTTTAAATTTCAAATGTAGTATTTTAAGAAAATATTTCTACTTTTACAATCATGGTGTGCACATTCTCATTAATATTAAATCATATTTTTTTTTGTAAATAATTAATTGATAAATTTATATTTATTCATAAAATTACCTAATAGAATATTATGTAAATAAAAATTAACTTCAGGCAATTTTTTAAATAAAATATAATAAATTTAAGAATTGTTTAAGTTTACTTAATGTGTAACACATCAAAAGTGATACATAACTAAGTTGTGTTATTTAAAATATGTCAATTGAAAATATTAAAAATGTGAGTGATTTTGTTTCCATTATTCGTCCGAAATGAATATTCTGCGTTGAGCCGTATAGGCAAAGTACCAAATATTTGTATGTTGTATATCTAATTTAGTAGCAGCAATTGTTGAGCATAATCTTGTATCTAATTACAATTTAAAAACTTCTTGAAAAGGTTTTCAGCAATAACAGGACCCTATTTGCACAAATTCACAAAAGCAGGACCCTGATTGAAAGAATGTGACTTAACGCTTATTTTATATTCACAAATTATGAGTAGTTTTTCACAATTTTACAAAAACAGACCCCTGCTTATATTTATAAATTTACCAGGAAGTTTAACTAGATTTAAACATAAATTTCTTCCTGTTACTTTTATACAAAGTAATGCTTTTTTGCCTTGAAGTTAATTAGATTCACATTTTAAAGAATAAAACACATGTAATTAGTTATATACATCTCTAGCATACATATTTCATCAAATTCTTATCAATGTTCAATAAAGATTTAAAGAAATTTCAAGGTGGCCACAACTGGAAAAAAAATTTAAAAAGTGATTGCAAATGCTGAGGTTGCTGCAAATTCCATAAAGGTTCCAATTTCATTTTAAATTTTAGGAGTTAAGTTGAACAATAAGTTAAGTTGCCTCTTTGTTTTAAGTTTTGACATCTAAATATAGTTCCTTTAATTTACAAATATATTTTGGTTGATATCAAACAGTAAAAATTATTTTTTTCTCCAATCTTTCTTTTAAATTGTTTTTGACAGTGGCCAACCTGAATTAGCCTATTCCTGATTATGCAAAGAACTAACCTTTAACTTAGGTACTCTTTTTATAGTTTTGAGCGGTCTGAGAACTCTAAGAACTCTCAGAGATTTAATGGTGCTAAGATTTTGACCGGTAGAGCTTCCACTGTAAAGATATGAAAAAAAATTAATACATAAAAAATAGTAAAATTTTATATTCATTCTAATTGAACATAAAGAAAGAACTCTACAAAAATATTTATAGTAGATATTGAATGAAAACTAACTATAATGCAAGGAATTTAAATGCTAATATTTTAAAAAGTTTAATGTTTTCATGCTTTTTTTTAAATTAGTAAATAATAATTTTGTTTATTATTATTGCTTAAAACAAATTCAAATTTAACTTTGAATGCATTGGAAACTATTCACAAAAGTATTGATAAAAGTAAACTACAACAATAGCAACAAATATTTATAGTACAAATAAATACAAATTTAAAACATTTTTCAGCTTAATTATTAATAGCAATTAAAATACAATTTAAAGACTGATAAAATACAAACTATTACAAAATGTATTGTTTTATGTGATAATAACTCATAAATTAAGCAAAATTTTATAAACATAAAGGATAAAAATTCTAAGCTGGTAAACATAATTTGTGCCCACTATCACTAATTACACTTGAATTTATTTTTACATAAATTATTTTTAAGTACTCTTTTCTTTTGTTTTATCAATGACAGCACATATTATAAATCCAGTTGCAATGTTGTATTTTCTTATTCTTAAAGTGCAACTCAAAAATAGTTAATTTTGTAATGTCCAGGAAAAAAATGTTAATTTCCTGAGTTAATTACGAACTAATTAAATTTTAGTAATTAAAAATACAATTGTAATAATACTTTTTTGTCGGCATTTTACATAACTTCAGATCTGAATAATTTTTATGACACTTTGCATTGCACCTTGAAAATTTTACACATTTTTTAAACCTTTTAAAACAAAAGTTTACTGCTTTGAAAGAATAGTAAAAACCACAAAATTATGAGTGAAACTTTACAATTAATTTTATTCTAAATATAAAAAGTTCTAAAAAATTCAATGGAACTTAGCTATCAAACATACATAACAAGCTCATTAGTTCTAATATTTCAAAAAAAACAAATAAACATACACAAAGGCAAAGGCAACAAGAGCACAAATAACAACTATAGCATCCAAAATATTCCATAGATCCCTACAATAGGAACCTGGGTGAAGGATAACACCTTGATCTATAACCTGCAAATAGATATAGATGTATAAATCTTGAACAAATATAATTTTTATTTGTAATGATTAAAATTTTTTTAAACAAGACAGCATATAACATTTTATTAGAAAAATATTTTAATTATTCAAGAGAACAAAATGCATCAAAATCACAATATACTCAAAAATTTTCTTGAAAGTTAAAGAGTTAATTTTCCTAAAAAGTAATGGGTTAATACATCGTATTATTATTTTTTATTCTCCTCAATATTAACTTTTTCCATTAAATTCAATCAAAGACGTAGAGTGAATATTTGTAAAATATTGTTTTCTCCCTCTCCGATTTTGCACTAAACTAAGTGAACATAAGAGCTCCAAGATTTTAAATTTTCTTAAGATTCTATAACAGAAATAAGCTACTTACGCTTTTTTTTTTGTTGTTACAATTGTTTAATTTGACTTATTTACAGCAAAAATAATAACAATATTAAATTTATAAATAGAGGTTTTTAGAACTTGAAGAACTGATTTACAGAAGATACTCAAATTAAACATTACTTTAAAACTAATGAATTTCATGGTTGTGCAATTAAAAAAAAAATCANTGACTTATTTACAGCAAAAATAATAACAATAATATTAAATTTATAAATAGAGGTCTTTAGAACTTGAAGAACTGATTTACAGAAGATACTCAAATTAAACATTACTTTAAAACTAATGAATTTCATGGTTGTGCAATTAAAAAAAAAATCATTTACATTTCTTTATTATGGCAAATATTATTTAAGGAGTCATAAGATTAAAAGAATTTAATGAATGTAAGATTATCATACTTATTTTGTTTTTATTATTTTAGTTGCTAATTATTTAGAATTTTAACCTATGAAATCTATTTGCACAAGTTTGTTGGCTTATAAAGCATATTTCGTGCTTAACAGACTTTTTCAAAACATTTATATTAGATGATTCACTATTAGGACAAATTGGCATAAAAGCTTCTCCCTCAAGCACGGTTTAGACACTGAATAACTGCTTTTTTCTTTTTGCTCTAATTATAGGGTTCACAGTAAAAAGGTTAATATTACCTACAACCAGGATTGGCAAGTTTTTGACAGTTGACGGTTTTAAGTCATGTCAAAAACCCAAAATTTCGGTGTTAGGATAATTATAGCTATTATAAAGCTATAGAAGTATTTATAAATAAACATGCATATAGAATTACAAGTGATGAATCAATTATGTTCTTCAATTATTTGGACATTAAACACTCTTTTTGTTTTGAAAATTACTGTCAAAAACGAAATTTTGGTGTAGAAAATATTAAATAATTATAAATAAAAAACTGTACATTGCATATTATCCAATTGTCAATTTGGATATTTGAATATTTTTGAATAATATATTTGAACAGTAATAATTTATTAACTCAAATTTAAGGTCCCACTCATAAACTTAAGGAATTCATACTAATAAATACAAGAGTTGACACATGTTTTCTTAACAATAAAAAATTTTGTAAGAATTCTTTTAGGCTAAGAATTTTCCCTCAAAACTTTTTGCAGGTGATCAGATAATTATTAGCGAACACTTAAGTTTTATAAACTTGACTAAGGTTTCTGACATGTCACATCAAAAACCAGTTTTTGATTTGAAAGAAACATCATTGCTAACAACTGTAAAATTATAATGTAATTTGAGTGAACATACAATACATTTATATCAAACATAAATTAAATTTAGGCGCATAGTAATATAATCATTTGTTACATTACTTAATGAGTACATCATTGTAGGTACAGAGCAATAAAAAAAAGTTGTTTTTTTTGACAAGATCAATAAAACTATAAATAAAAATATTTTTGCGGGTACTATAAAAAATTTACCTGATAGTATCGATTTCTTTTTTGTAATGACATTTGTTACAAAAATTTATAATCACAGAGATTAATTTCTGTAGCTGAACATAAATTAAATAGTAAAAACAACAACCATTTACTATAATATAATAATTACTTACCTTTAAAACCATTTCTATCGCAAAAAATCCAGTAAAAGCATAATCAAAGTAATTTAATATTGCATTACTAGGAGAGTTTTCTTCCACTGGATCTTCTGCCGCTAGAGCTATACTACTGAGTGTGATGATGATCATGATGAATAAATCAAAATAATGAAGATTTACTATATAATGAGCTACTTGACGGATCCTGAAAAAAAAAAAGGAAATTGAATAGTTTTATATAATTATTAATAAAGCAATATTGGGATATGTCACATATACACTTAATGTAATGTGACAATTCAATTTCTAATTTTACCTAAGCCTTTAATTTTTCCTTAAACGTTATTCCTTTTTTTCAATTTAGCAATTTTAACTTTCTTGTGGACCTTTCTCATGGTCATTGCGGTCATCGCACTTCCTGTGGGGAAAGTCAACCAACCCCTCTATTCATGCCCTTCTTTTTCTTCTTTTAATTTTAGGGGGGCTAACTAACCAATCTCTTTCCTTTAAATTTCAAACTCTCCGCCTCTTTAAATTTAATTGGCCGTAATTTTTCTGGTCTACCCCAGTTAAGGAATTTTTGCAAGTCTTTTTTAATACATTCTCTTTTTCTCGAGCCTTCGGGCAGGTTACCTTTTTTCTCGGAGATGCGGACTTCGGTCCATATCGAGGGATTTCTTTTTACATTTTTTTCTTAACTTTCATTTTAAATTAAATCTATACTCATTTTCTGTAAAATTAAAAATCAGCATTCTGTACCTTAATTTTCTTTAACATTAAAAACCCTCTAGAATTCAAGCTTTCTTTCCATATTTACTTTAACGGTTAATTTACTCATTCTTTTATATCTTACTTTTATCTATGACGCCTTCTTTGTTTTAATTCTCTTGTCACCCATTTCTATGTTAATAGATATTTCTTGTGCCACAAAAATGTGTTGGAAGATATACATTGTTTTTTTGAAATAATCAAAATAAGTAGTTTTAAAAAATAATGTTTTACAAAAATAAATGTTTAGTTCAACAGAAAGTTTTGTGTGACTGTTTTTTTAGCTTTACCTTTATAGCTAATAGTTATCACCTTTTTTTATTGTTATGGGCATTTACTTTCTCTCTTTGGAAACATCACAAAAATTGCATTGAATGATATATTTATGTTTGGATATAGCATGTCATTTATCTATTTATCATTAATTACTTCAGTTTCACCCTTATTCAAATTCGTTGATACCAATTTATCCAATTTGTTCAAACCTCACATTTTGTTACCCTTTGAACCTATTGGGTTATTGTTATCCCACATTAGCATTGTACTAACACTTTCATTAATGATCACATTCCCCTTAATTTAATTTATTTACTCTTTTATATATTTCGGCCTTAATTTGTTTTATCATGACATTTCAATCATTTACCTATTTTTAATCATGACTATATCCAGAGACACATCCAATTATGCAACCCATCCAATCAAATTTAATACATAAATAATGTTACTTATCTAATTCGCACCATCAATAATAATTTTATTAAACAGTTACAGGATACATCATGAAGAAATTTCAGAAATTATCATTATTCATTAAGTATATTAACTGATATAATAAATGCATGGGAAAAAGAAAAATTAGAACTAAATTCGAAAGACTTAATATGCAACATGTCCTAGATCAAAATTGATGTGTATTATCTAAATATTTTAGACCACAAGCGAGAAAATAAATGAAATTTTGAAAAATATACAATTTAGGTGATTTTTTAAGTACATGATTAATGTCTAAGTCTTAAACTCATGCCACTTTTGGCTTAAATTAGATAAATAATTATTATATTAGAGTATAATAATAGAGTGCAACTTTCATGAAATTTTAATGAACAATTTTTCGAAAATTTCAATTTTTTAAGAGCATGTTTTAAACAAAAGATTATATTTTTTAATCGTAATTTACTACACAGTAGTTTTTAATAGAATATTAAGTTCAATATATATAAGCTTTTGGTCATTTTTATTCAAAAGCTCAACATTTTAACACTAAAAAGTGAGAATATGTGAAAGTATTAGCTATCTCTAGGAATGGTAGAAATTATTCAACATGCACATAATGACACAAAATATTCAGCTGCATTAATAACAAGCATATTAGTTTAATAAATTGCAAGAGAATTTAAATTTGATGTAATTATGTTGAAAATTTGTAAAGAAAAGAAAATGCATCATTCAATATTGATAAAGATATATTTTTTCTTTGTAATTAAAGTTTAATATTAAGAAAAAATTACTGATAAATTTTAGTATTGCATAAACTCACTATTTTGTCCAAGTCAAGTAAGAATATAATAATTAATCTTTTATATCGATTTACCTAAATTTTCTACATACATTTATTCTTAAATTTAAAAACAAAGGGGAACTTTTGTAAAGCTGTTTGTAGTTTAAAGCTTCAGTTCACCTGAATTTAATTTTTCTCATCATTCAACAATAATGCATAGAAAATACACATTTTCTGAGTTCTTTTTAAAGTAATTCAAAATAAACAATTTGCTAACGCTCTTTATAAAGCAAACAAAAATCAAAAATATTCTAACTTGACTTATATTTTTAAAATAAAATATACTTACGGATTAGTTGATGAAAGAATGAACATGGAAGAATAGGGCAAAATTGGCTTGGGAACTTTTATCGGCTCATCTGGCTCATCATCTAACAAAAATGATAAAATATTAACAAACGAGTTAAAAAAAAAAAAAAAAACACAATAAAAATTAAAACTTCTGAAAACGCAAGATTTTAAGTCTCATAAGTTGATTAAAAAATAATTTTTTTATAAAAAAAAATGGTGAAAACATACCATCAAGATTTTGCTTTGTAGGTGGATTAGATTTTTCAATGTCTTCGTTGCTACCTTTCTCGCTAAAATAAAAAAATCAAGATTTAAAAATGAATGCATAATATAGGTCAATTCAATTTATCATTTTCTTAAGTAAAATTTAATCAAAAATAGTCAGATAAACAGTAAAATACTAATTTGTTTTACGATTATTAATGAGTCAAAAAAAATCATTAAATCTATAATGATATGAAATATACAATGATTGTAATGAAAATGTAATATAAAAATTTCAGTAACATGCAATTTCGTTCTAAAACTATTTTTTAAAAAAAATAAAAATGCAAGCTTACAGATTAAAATTTTTTCCTTTCTCTGCATTATTCATTGGAGAAGGTGGGCAAATATTAACCTGAGGAGGGTCATTTCCCATTTGCAGATCTTTTAGTTCCTTATCTAATTCTTCTTTAGCTCGCTATAACAACACATAATGCGAGTGAATATAAAACAAAAATGAGAAACATGACAACAAATTTGCAAGCATGCATATGCGATTTGCTATGAAAAAAACTGAATAATAAATTTAAAGAGAATAAAACCATTTAGCTGAAAATTAGCAATTAGTATTTTGAAGTCAAAACAAGAGTAGAAGGAGAATTCTTTTACAACCTTCTAGAACTTTTTAATGAAAAAGAAAATACTTGATTTATTTAACCAGTATAAAAATATTAAAGAGATTCTTTTTGAGACATATAGGATAAAATATATTTTAAAAAAAAATAGAACATACTTCTTTATCTTCTTCAGCCTCTTCTGCTTCAGCCGCAGTTAATTCTTGCGCATTTGCTAAGTTATCAACAGCGATGGCCAAGAATACATTCAAAAGAGTGTCTTATTAAAGAATGAAGGAAAAACAAACAAATTTATTAATTTAAAAAAAATTTTACAATCATTCTTTAAATAAGTGAATCAGTTGTAATTCCAAAGCCAATAAATGAGGTGCTTGTTAAAAAATTAAAAAATTGCAGCACTTTCGACTGTTATAATTTTACATTTAGATCTATGCTTAATTGTCTTGTTTAAATGGTAGAAACAGATTAATTTTATCATCCTACAAACTAATCTCAACTGAATAAATCATAGTATGACAAAAAACTTACAAGGGCAAAATATTACGGGATAGAATCTGTGAAGAACAAAGTGCAGAACCATAATTATCGAATCACAAAAACACATAAAATCTTTTTTTAAAAATTTCCTTAAGTATACATGTTTTGAAATAGAATCAAATTATGACTAACTGAAGAAAACATGCATTTTACGATACTTTATAATATAATTTTAATTACAAGTGCAATTGGATGAAAACAAAACAAAGGCTCAAGCAAAGTATGCTTAGTATCCAAAAAAATAAATAAATAAAAAATAAATTTTCACAAAAATGCTTGAAAAAATTTTGCTGCATTATCCAAAACATATTCATTTTTTTCTTCTTTCTGACACAAAGAGTTCACTGTACTTTATAAATAGGATTTCAATTGCAAGTGCAACAGATTAAGAACAAAGCAAAGTTTATGAAATACAACTAATTTTGACAATAAAGAAATTTTTCACAACAAAGCTTGGAAAATGTTGTAGAATTTAAAATAACTAGAAAAAATTTAATATTTTTATCATTAAATTTTTCATCACCTTACAGAAATGCAACTGGTATAAGGATTAAAAATAAACAGTTTTAAAACAGTGTAAGTAATTCAACAGAATGAAAGGATACAGTTCCCAAAGAGCACCAAAATAATAAAATATAAACTATACACCATTCCACCTTTCTTTATACCCCCTTGCGATTCAATACCTTTATACATAACTTCATTCCAATCCTCTCCAGTAAGTATCTGCATACGAAAAGAAATAGTCAGTTTAACTAGATTAAAAAAAATAATTAAGTTAATGCAAAAAATTTAAGAAAACATGAAAAAAGAAGAAAGGATCTGAATAGCTCCTAAAGTAGTTATTTTTTGCTGAAGAGAAAGGGTAAAAAACCATGTTTTGCATAACACTATAAATTTTAGTGACAAAAAAACAAACAAACAAAAGAGACATTTATTTTAATGAGCTATTTTAGTGAGATAATTTCTTTTAAAAATCAAATCCTTTTTTTTCAAAAGATATGAAACCTAATTATTTCACAAAATAAAAAATTTCGCAAACTTTGTAAGTCAACAATTTATGCACAAAATATACACAATGTTATTATGAATGTGAGTGCATTATATTAATTCAACACTTTTTATATCTTATCAAATGCAATAAAAATTCTGCAAGAGAATAAAAGATAAAAAGTAGAGGGTGTGCAAAACATATCACAAAAATGTCGAAAAAAAAATCAATTTACCTGAAATACTGTAATCAAGGCAATAGGAAAAGTATTGAAGTTTGCAGGTGGAGTACCTTCAGGAAAATTGAAGCTATAAAGATACAAATGTTTTTTTTGTAAATTCTTTTAAAATTAAATTCAATAATATCTATTGTACATATAAGATCTATTATAGACCCTTTATATATAGATATTTGTTACATATACCCTTATATATCAGCTATATATCTATGGGGCTATTCAAATCATTACGTAAGCATGTTTTTTGGCAATTTTGGACTCTTCCCCCCCCCTTGTCAGCAAAATAAACAAATCACAATTCCTCTCTCATCCTTAAGTAAGAAATCAAAACTTCCTCTCCTTTTTCTGTTTGACTTTTGCTGTAGAGATCTAAATTTAGGATTAAATTTAAATAAATAATGTAACTTTGAAAAAAAAATCAATTCATATAATAAAATTTTAAGAAGATTATTTTTTTTAGGCATAGCTTTTGTTTTTCTTCAGTGTTTAAAACTTTTGATGCATGAAATTCCTAGAATTTTTTGTCCTATCATTTCAAGCATAATGTTTCCCTAAATTTTATTATTTTTTTGTGTTTTATGAAAAGTTTTGAAAGCTACGTAAAAAAATTTCTTATGTAAGCATTGTTCATTGCCCTTCCCCTCTTGTATAAAAAAATAAGCTAACAACAGATTCCTTTCCCCTGCTAGTTGCTTATGTAATATTTGAATTTTATTTATGTAATATTTAAAAGTCACATGATTTTTCTTGGTATACAAATATGTCAGCACTAATAAGGTATTTTTCTTTATTAGCACATTGGTTTTCACCAATTGAATTACTCCGACAGAAAAAATAAAAAGTTTTTTTTAAAGCCATATGATTTTTGTTGGGATATGTCAGCACTAAGCACTAATAAGGGATGTTTCTTTATCAGCATAATTGTTTGCATCAACTGAATTACTCTGTTAAAGTGTAAGACTCTTATTTTATCTTTGTATTTGCAATAAATAATATATATATATATATATATATATAGTGGCTTGCCTGGGAAGGCAAGAAGTTTTACCTTTTTTCTTGCATGCAAGGATCCAGTGTATACAAAACTTGGAGACCATGTTCGCGCAGATGCCAAATGGAAGTCTTTCTCACTAATGAAGATGTTTGTTTAAAGGAATAAAACAGCAAAATGCTTTTACCCATTTTTACAAACACTTCATACTGCTTCTTAGTCTTATGTCTTCCTCCATAATAACACTATCTTTATATATGTGCTAATAGTTTAAAACACTTCAAAATATATTATAAATAGTAGAAAAAGTAACACTTACGCTCCTCCAAATAACTGCATTCCAAGAAGAGCAAATATTAGTATAAAAAGGAAGAGTAGAAACAACAAACTAATGATGGATCTCATACTATTGAGCAATGAAATCACTAAATTACGAAGGGATGACCAATACCTGAAAACATAAGACAAATAAGTTAACATAACTTTTAAAAGAAAATAAAACAATTTTTAATGAGATAAATATATCAAATTTATAAAAAATCACTTTGATTTTTAAAGTAGACAAACTTTTGATTTCAAATAAAATAAATTTGCTAAAGTGCACAAGTAACTTATGACAGTAACAGGCCGAAGTTAGGTGCTACTGTCACAGGCTAAATTTGGCTTAGCACCTCTGTCTCCTTCTCTGTGACAACAGGTTTAGCAGCTTCACAGACTATTTAAAAAAATATTGTGATAAGCATAAATATAAGTATTCAGTTTGTAATGTAAATTTAAATGGGGAAATTTGAATAAAGAGGAAATTTGAGTAAATATTTTGCATAAAATGAAAATTATCATCCTTCATACACAGCAGTTGGAATAATTTAAGATGTTTGTATAACTTGATAAGCAGGGGAAGTAACTAAGAAAATTTTACTTTCTATCTAAGAAAGTATACCCTATTTGGCAATGATGACAACATATGAACTATCTTTTCCTTTTATTTATTTTCCTTCTGCTTAGAAATTGGTAGCATCAGAAGCCTGGAAAAGCATAACTTTTCTCCTCTGACATAAGCCATAACAGAAAAGAAATAAAATTTCTCCCCAGTTTCGCAGACCAAACTTGCACACCATCCTTTTACCTTCTATTAGGCATGATGGGACAACGATTTCAGGAACAATTCCTTATTGTTTCATTTCATGGCTTGGATTTCAATGGTCTCAAACAGACATTCTCAGTTAAGTTTGAGTTCTGCTAATAGGCTTCATAATTTTAACCAAACCATGACTTTGAGATTTAGAATAGATGACTTTTTCAGATTTGGATATTCAATATGCATATACAATATTTTTACTTAACTTATATTAATTAGTATGTACTCACTCTTAACAAAATTAAAGGATGATAGAAACTATATTTGAGTTGACTAAAAGAGGAAAAATAATAAGAAAGGAAGGCTGTGTATGGCATCTTAGGGTAGTAAAATCCAAATACATGAGATGATAAACTCTTTTAGGGAATCAAATAAGGGCACAATGAAAATGATGGAGTGGGAATGGAGTTTAAAAAACAAGGAATAAATCTTAAAAACAATTAGCATATGACAAATACAGGGAAAAAACCCAGAGTTTTCAACCTTTTCTCGATGTCACAATCTTATATATACACTAGAGAGGGGAGCGGGATTGTTTTTGGAGGTCCGAGCCTGATTGAGTACAAAGAAATTTAATCCGAGCCGGAGATAAATAAGATTACATGGAGTCCAAGATATACAGTGGAAAAAGGCAAAATTTCGTCAATTCATTACTTGGCTCTAAACACAAAGAAATTAGAAAATTAAAAACTTTCTATCACTAACCTGTGAAAGAAAAAGCGAAGAAAAAACTGAACTAACTGAAACAAAAATTAAAAAATAAGAATCAAAATATTATGCTAAATAAAAGTCTTTTGACAATTAGTGCTAGCCTCACAGAGTAAAAGCCCTGAACAGAAGATGGCTGTAAATTAAAAGTAAAAGTTTTATTTTGAATCTGAGCTAGCTCGAAACCTTTTTTCGGTAAATGAGCCGGACCTCACGCGGAGCCAGTCTCTAATATATACACTTATTTTATCATTACTTTTTTATGTAGCAACTACCAAGCATTACATTTAATTTTGATTGGTCATGAAAAAGAATAAAAAAAGTTCTTTTCATTTAGAATATATTTATTACAAGAAGGATAAATCTGAAATATATCCACATTTCGATACAGGAGACTTTTAACATAACCTTTGGAAAAGATAAATATAAACTTAAGTAATATTTGTTTAGAGCATGAGAAAAAAAAGAGAAAAATAGCTTACTTTGTAACTTTAAATATCCTGAGCAATCGTAACGCTCGAAGAACAGAAAGACCAAATGAGCCTCCTCTCACACTGGACCATACAACTTCAAATATACTACCAGAAATTACCTGAATCAGAATGAAAAAACTTTAATGTGAAACATTTAAATTTACGTGAAATAGAATTGAGTATGAACTTTACAAATTCAAGATTGTAACATTTTTAAGGAGAATGACTATTTGGAAGCAAAACAGAATATGCAGTGCTTTATATGAATACTATTCAATTAATACATTAAAAGTACAATATCAAATAAAATAATAATAAATTAAGCTTCATAGATGAATAATAAGTGAAACATGTTAATTTTTGTATATAATATACTCGAATGTTTTCTATATACAGGAGTAAAATATTACAAAATTTATTAAAATTTTTTCTTTTGATGAAAACTAAAAAATTAATTTTAAAAAGACTGATGAAGTTTTTGTAGGCTAAAAAAAAAAAGAAAAGAAAAAAATAGATAAGAAGTTACTTTTTATGTTATAAATCTACTACAATTTAATTTTTTTCATTAACGGTAAATTATAAATTAATTTAACATTTGGTGACATAATGTGTGGTGACTTGCTTTGAACTGATTTTTTTTTAGTAATGCATGCAGTGGAGGAATTTAAAATGTTGAATAAAAATAGTTAAAAAAACTTTTAATTTCAATAAAATTTTAAATAAAAGAAACACTTTAGCTTTCATACACAAAGTAGAACAAGATTTTTAAAAAAAATCAACACATTAAGGCAAAATATTGAGATTTAGAAAAATAATAGTTAAGGATAATAACGTATGAAAAATAATTCATATGTACGTATTCAACATTCATATGATAACTTAGGATTAACAATGAAAATATGATAGCTAAAAATGAAACCATTTCAAAATAAGTTATAAGTACCAAAAAAATATTTTAATGTAATAGACCAAGATTATAAAAGCTAGACAAAATAAATAAAAAAAAAAATCTTTCTGAGCAGCGTCAGCTAAACAAAATGCTTCTGTTTCAGATATAACTCAAGGCTAACTTATAGGAAGATTAAAAAAATATAGCAAAAAATTAATTCGTTTAGAAATTTAAACCTTAATGAAATAAGTTATTGCTTACTTCAGTATATATATGTAACATAACATAAAAAAGGCAAAAAGTAAAAAGAGAGATAAATGAAAAAAAATTACTAAAAATAATAATAATAAGTTTTATTTATTGCGTATAAGCTGTAGATCTCATAAAATAAATTAAAAATATTGAGAAAACATGTAAAAAAGAAATATAAATATTTCAGATATAATCGCGCGAGCTGATGACAAGATTATATCTTGTCTTTACCTTTTTTTTAATTTAAAAAATTTCAAATTAGTGAAAATTTTTTTCATAGTCTTTTTTGTTCTTCTGCTAATTTAAAAAAATATTTTTCCATGTTTGATCCATATTTGTAACTNATATATATATATATATACATAAACAGTTTGAATTAAAAAAAAGCTTATACAATAATAGTGCTAACAGTAAAATAGAATTTTTCAGAAAAGGAAATTTTTCAAGTATCATAAACTTAAACCTTGCGGTGACTTTTAAACAAATTAAAAAAAATTCTAAGGATTCTAAAGTTACCTTTAACAATTTATTTAATACAAGTAAAAAAAAATTAAAAATAAAAACTGAAAATGCAAAATGGGTATTGCTTTGAATAATTTAAAATATAATCAAAAACTTACAACACAGTCAAAACGATTAAAGGCAGATTCAAAATAAATGCGTGCTCCAAGGGCGTAAACTTTCAAAAGCATTTCAGAAATGAAGAGTCCCAAAAATACATATTCTGCATAGTCTGAAGAAGGAAGATAAACAAATTTAGATAATGTAGATATGCACACATATGTTTGATAGCAAAAGTAATAATTTGGTGGTTATTGAGACAATTACTTACATAAAAAATCATCCAGCCATTCAGGTTGGTTATAATGTTCTACAGCTACACATACAGTATTTAAAAATACAAGGACAATAACAACCCAATAAAATGTTTGAGATTTGGATGCATGGCGAATGGCAAACCTAAAAATTATAAGTCAATTAAAGTGTTTTTATTAGGCACTAAAAATAAATGAATTCAAAAAGAATTTCTGAAGTACAAGCAAAAAATTATTTTCATGATAATAATCTCATAAAAATTGAATTCATTTAAATATTCATAATAATATTTTCATAATAATAAACATAAAATTATCTGATTCTAAGTGATCCTACTTAAAGTAAAGCATTCCCTCAACAGAGCCAGGAAGGTCACGGAAATTAAGGCTTCAAGATTTTGTGACCAACGGCATGGTCAGAGTTGCCACTCATATTTAAAGCTAACTAATTTTTTTGATATAAAACTAAAGGCTAACTTACGTAAAAAGCATAATTGTTTACTAATTTTAAATATTTCTATCACTTATAATTGGTAAATTTATTTTTACACGTATAGTTGCACATAAGTTGGGATTATTCTTATAGGCGCTAAATTTTATTCATTGATAAATCTTTTTGTGATGCCAACAAAAGAGGTATTTCCGCCTCAAGAAAATGACACCGACTAATACTAAAATCACTTGTGAAAAATCATGTACCTTTGATAACTATTTTAAAGTCAATGGAGGTAACCACTAAGAACGACTAACCTTAACCAATAACAATTTTACTGTGGAATGGTACCCATCGATCTGAAGCTAGTGGACTTCAAGCTGCTAAGGGGGATCAAACCCCAATCCTTTAGTATGACAGTTAAGTACCAAAACCACTGAGCTGTTTCGACTTGAGTGGTCTAATCAAGTGATGACTTAACTTAAGCTATTAGGTATTTTTGGCTAAAAAAAACCAAGGTCTATCACCAGGGACTAGAATGGATATAAAGATATTCTTGTGCCCTTAAGGCCCAAGGGCATTGAAAAGATAGGGAACTAATAATATAAAAATCGAGAACTAATAAGTTCGAGTCTTAAAAGTTCCTACACTGAGAATTCATGAATTTTTTTAACAGAAATAAAAAACATTGAAATCATTATTTTTAAACTAATGTTTAAAGGTACTTATGAAAGATTGAGAACTTATATTTATATTAATGATAAGAAGTAGTTTAAAAGCATAATTGGATGATGGAAAGCTAAGCAATTGCAAAAAAGATGTAACAAAGTTCTGTAAATTCTGTATCTTACCTGAGTCTTTTTTCAGCTCGCCAAAACTTTTTACATTTACCTCTATCTCTTGCAGATGGTTTCAAATAGGAAGACTTTCCCATACCTAATTTCAAAAATTCATAACAAAATTATTGTATAAATTAACAACAACAAAAAAGTCTTAAAAAAGCTATCTGGCATTTTAGTTTCTATTTGGTTTAATATTATAAAACAATGCAGAAATATTTCAAACTAAGAACTATAATAGAAAGAGTTATCTTTAAGAACTTTAAAGGCACATTAAATATATGAAAAAATATGACTAATTCTGAGGTTTTTTATAAATGAAATAATAATATGGACACATCTTAAAGGGTAGGAACGATAATGTTAACTACTATGTCATGTTGATAATTTTACATTCTATATATGAACTAAATATTAATTACTTAAGTGAAATATCTTTTCTATTTAAAAACTAACATTAAAAATAACTTATTTTAGTGAATTTAGGACATGTTTCTTTCACACATTGAAATATAATTTATCTAGTGCTTTCAATTTTTAAATATTTTTTAAAGATATTTACAGAAAACTTTCAGAATAATTTATCTTAATTTCTGTCACTAGATTATAAATTTACTCTATAAATTTTATTGTATAATTCATATTAAATATGTCAATTCATAATAAAAATTTAAATTAATTTGTCTTCCAGCTTAAAGTTTAGATTTGTGCTGTGTTTCCATTTTTTGAGAACTGATAAATGTAACATAAAAACGTATTGAAAAAGAATATAATCAGATTTATACTAATCCATATGTTGTTTTAATGTTGTTTGTTGTGTTTTTATGTTGATTGTAAATGTTCCAAATATACCATTACCTAATGCGATATATTTTTTTGTTCATACCATCATAATAGTAATCAAGATGCAGTCAAATCTTACAATAATAGCAATCAAGTATTTAGTAGAAAATAAAAATTGCTAATAAATATATATTTTTAATATGGAAGTACATATATTCCTTTGTGACAAATTTACAGTGAAATGTTACTGAAACAGCAATGCAATTAGCAATGATGTTTCTATTAACAAATCCTTGTAAATTTGTAAAAACAAATCTCAGTAAATAAATAACAGCAGTGCAATTAGTCATTACATATGATTTAACTTAAAAATTTATTAAATATGTCTACCACAAACAAACACTTTTGTTATATTTTAATGTATACAAGTGAAACATAAGTAATTATTTTAGAAAATCAACATTATAATACATATTAAATAATAAAGACAGATATTCCATTTAAAAATTTTGAAAAATTATAAAGTATATACTATGTATATTTTTTAATTGGAAGCAAAACTGATGTATTTTATATACATAGCAATTTTTTTAGTGCTTGAACTACGAAAAATAAATAAGACCTACTTAATTACCTTTGAAGCTACAAAAGAAACTAGAAATCAGATACTATTATTAATAAGTAACTATGTTCTAAAAATATTTTTCGGTTAACTTTCGGCATAGTGTTTTTGAAATTTTTGAGTGCTGAAGAATTTGTTTTTAGTAATAGATAATACTGAACAAAAAATGGCTATACAAAACCTGCTATAGAAAAAAAAAAAAAAAAAAAAAGAAAAATTTTATTTTTAATTGTTTTTTATAAAAATAAATGCATTAGAAGAATAAACAATGAAAATTCTTTTGTACATACATAATTAAATGAAAATTAAAAAAATCTAAAAACATAAATAGAAAATATGAGTTAAAAACTAAAAAAAAAAAAAGTTAAAGTTAATTAAAAATTACAAGTTAAAGGTAATATTGAAAGCTTTCTCTCAACAGTGATTAATTTATGTCATATCTCTACAAAAAGGATGATAAAATTGTATGACAAAAGATAACCGATAAGTGCTATGCAAAGTTTTAAAGCTTTTTTTTCTTAAAAAAATAAATAACAAAACAAATTATATTTATAATACTCTATAGTTTTCAAGGATGCAACTAACATTTAAATGCTATTTACAAATAAGCAAAACATATATTTAAAACAGATATACGAACATGCACAATAAAAACAATAATTTTGTTTATATATATATACTAACTTGTAACTAATAACAATTAAAAAAAATTATGGATGTTACCAAATCAAAAAACATATATAAACATATTCTACATATTTATTTACTACTAAAAGAAATTTATCTTTCTTCACTAAAAAACAAATTTAAAATATCTCTGATAATTAAACTTAAAATAATTGACAACTAAAATCGAACTGTTGAACCAGTCATTTTCAATTTGGTAACGGTTCAATCACGTGAAGTGCACAACATGCAGGCAATAGTGATAAAATAATAACATGATTTTGGTAACACATAGAATAGCAAACAGGAACAAATGCACAGATGCAGAGTAAAAGAATAGCATGCAACATAAAATTTGATAATATTTAAGCACTTTAAAATTGCATTTTATAAAATAATTATAATTCATAATAACATTCTTGAATCTATTTCATACGATAATGAGTATTTCAGATATAGATAAAACATAAAATAACCTAGTTATGTTCAATTACAAGTCACCATTTTATGCACCATAAATGTATATTTTCAGATCCTTTTGCTTTGTGATGTTTAGTAAACATTTAAATAATTTAAAATCTGCCCTTTTTTAAAATTATTTAACTGTCATCCCTGAACACAGTTCAAGGAAATCTGACTAACAATAATTGATACATAATGATTGGTCTAAGGGAGAGCAAAACAGTTGATGATAATGATAAATGAAGTTTAAAAAAAAAACGTTTCAGTTTCTTTAACAAAGTTATGATTCTAATTAAGTGTTTCATATTTTGATATTATAATCTTATACAGCAATACTTCTTCAAGGATTTAGTCTAATTGCACTATTATGATAATAATAGGATTAACATAGGGCATGATAAGAACAGGAGAAGTTAAACGATGTCTTTGAGAATGCTTTATATATGCCTACAGTAGGGATGTAACAATGGTAGAGCTTTGTGCTCCCATGCCACAGGTCCTGGGTTCGATCCTCGAGCCGGGCAAGGTTGACTCAGCCTTTCATCCCTTCAGTGGGTCGATGAATGAGTAGCAAGCATGCTTGGGAACTAAACACTGGGGTTTTGTGCTAGATTGACCACCTAACCAGAACATCTGCTCCTGCACCCCAGGGTCAAGAAAACTGAGATGGGCACAGTAGGCCTTGGCCCTCTATGGGCTGTCGCGTCACCGAGTTTAGTTTAGGAATGTAACAAATAGTTGGCCACTATACAATGGGCGAATATTTAGCCAAATATTTGGCAAAGTATTTTTTGGAAAAGTATTTTTCGACAATTTTTTTTCTTTTATTAACTAGAAGAGATTTAATAAAGAATAATTTGAAATTGTATTCATGAATATACATTATTAGAAATAGTTTTTACACATATTTATTAAGTTCCAAAACTTGTTCATTTATGTTATGAAAGACAAATGGGAAAAAGTAAAATTTAAAGAATAGAAACAAAATTACTACTGAAACATGAGTTTAGTACTGATGAATTTTTAGAAAACTTATATCCAGGCAAGTCAATTTAATAGTTTTCTCAAAAGTTTTTGTTTTAAGAATTGAGAACTTTGTTTTGTCGCTTTTTTGTTTCATTTTTAATATTTTTTCTGTAACTGAAAACTGTGATTCTCAACGTTAAACTTATATTTCTGAACTTAGAACAATTACTTAAATTTTTTTAAATATGTTGCTATTTACCCGAGTTCTTGATTCCGAAGACCGTATTAGGATTAAAAATAATGTAATGTCTGATAAAGCCGATTTGGGTGCTTTAAAAGTTAATTGAGTACTTGCACTTCAAGAAGAAGGCCATGGATACCCACAGTGATCTATGACATCAGTGCCAGCTGATCTTTTATAAGTAAAATGGCCTGATAAAGTTGAGATAAGTTTCTCCATATAAGTTAGAATGTTAATTAAGCTGAAGTTATTGAAATACGCTATCCCACATTGAATTTATTGAAATATATATTTTTTCACTTCCACGTCTTTTATTTAACTTAGATTTATGTATTTTATTGCAACCGTGATAAATTTATGTTCTGTGCACCTCACAACCTTGATGCATAATTAATTTGTTTAAGTTCTACATGGCTTTATGCCAGTCTTTGTGTTAAGTGAGAAATGTACAGAGAAAGAACTGAAATCTTAGTGAAAGAAACTTTGTGTAAGAATATAAAATGTATCATTTAAGAGAATTGATGCTTGGCGGGCTTGGCTTACTCGAAATAGAATGGAAAGAATAGTTCCTAACGTAAACATATGCCACATTTCAACAACCAATTAGGATCGAGATACCCACACTACGTCACTTGCAGGTAACCCATTATGAGCTGAGCATTAATGATTCAACAGGTTTGGTACAATAGGTGATTAAAAAAAGTTACAAAAGATCAACTTAAACATAAGTGTTTAAGCAGAGCTTTAAACCGAAAAAAGTATACATGATATATTAACAATTCTATCTACTTAAATCCCCATCTTAATTCCTGTACCTTTCGATTTTAACTTTGCAGTCGGTGCTGTGGGTTAAGTGCCACGTGTTGGATTAAGCAGAAGTGATGCACATGCAAGAGAAGAAAATTCATTAGTTTTAAAAGCAAAACAGATTATTCAGATTTATGATACCAAACACAGTAAAACTTTTAGGAATTCAATTAGTAAAATTATGGTTTTTATTTTTCTAAACTACAGTGAAACCTCCAGGAAAGACCACCTCTATTTATGAACACTTTTAGGTGGCACATAATTTTTTTTCACAGACTTTATGTTGAAGAAAACTTTTAAGAGAGACCATTAAAACGTCTCATAGAGACCAAGCAAACATCTGCATCAAATGTGAAAAAGGTCAAATAAGGAGACACAGGAAAATATCACAACAAAATATTTAATAAAATAAATAAGAAGATTAAAATGTATTCAAAATATTTGTCTGTGGCTCTTATTTAGAGAGCTCTTTTCGACAATACAACCTCATGTTGCAGTCAGAGTTCACTAAACACAGTGGTTTCAATGATTTACTTTTAGAGTTGAAAATTATTTTAGAAAAAGCAAGCATCTCAAACAAACAAACCTCTTCTCAGAATTTAAAGCTAACTAATTTTTATGATGTAAAATTAAATGTAAACGTAAGCAAAAAACATAATTGTTTATTTATTTAAAATAGCTTTATCATTGATAATTGGTCAGTAATCAATAGGGATCATTTTCATAGAATTTTATTCATAGATCCGTCTTTTCATGACGCCAACAGATGTGGCATTTCCATACAAATATGTTTAAATGGTTTGCAAAAAATCATGTACCGCCTATAACAATTTTGAAGGTATCCTCTGAGAACGAGCAACCTCCATAAACAACCATTTTACTGTGGAACTGAGAGTGGTTGCTCCTGAGAGGTTTAACTGTACAAACAAATAAATTTAAACTTTAATGAATTTAAGTTTCTTTTCTTGCTTAAAGACATTTTGCAATTATGGGAGAAAAATTATTCATTGGTACATACAATAAAAATTAAAACTATTAAATAATTCATATAGCTATAAGAGATCAAAATATTATGAGGTGGTACTTAAGTTTTACAATATCCAATTTTTAAGAACATTAAATCAAGTAATTAATATGAAAAATAAATAATAGTTTTAGTGCAATAAAAACCATTACTTTTAAAATAATTTGAATAACAGATGGTATAACTTCCAAAACTAATACATTACAAGGCAATAATTGTATGATTTTATTAGCAAGTGACATTTATAAGAATGATTAAATTTTTAGTAAGCAGCATAAAAAATAATAAAAATTGAATTAAATAATAAACAAAAACCCCATAGTAATTACATTTATAAGAAAAATTGAATTCCAATAGTTTAAACTGTATTTGATAGTCATATATATCAAGAAAAAACATGTAAGTAAAGAATATTATATTCTAATCAGTGCAAAAATATCAATACCTTACCTATGTGTAGGAATACAAAAGAAGTAAATATGAAAAACATTTCATTTTGTGAAAACAGATGTCAAATTTATGTAATGAAATACAATATTTCGTTAAAATTTCGATAATTATTGAATTAAAATTTAGGAAATTTTTTGTTTAGTTACAAAAATATACAAAAAAAATTAGTATCAAATAAAATGTACTTTCAGAAGTTTATTTTAACAATTAAAAAAAATCTCAGTCATTTGTAAAATGATGAAACAGTTTTCAAGAAAGAGAAAAGATGATTTCAATTTATTACTGTGTATGTGAATTTAAAAAAAAAAAGCATCCTTTTTCAAGGGAGAAGGAATCAAATAATAAAAGGATTCAAATTTCTAGCTAAAAGTTAACCATTAATATAAAATAAATACAAATGGTTAAGAACAATTTGGTTTCACATTCCTATTTCTATTGGTTGTATTTAAACATATTTAAATTAAGAATGAATTAAACTTTATACATTTAAACTGAAAAAAAAATGCATTTCACAACAGAGTATTGAGACACATGCACTTTTTTGTTTTTAGAGGGACAGAAAGTTAAACATATTAATCATACACTTTTCTAAACAGACTAAATAGGGGTCCTATAGCTGCTTTGACACAACTCACGGTTTCCCATTGTAGATATGTGTAACTTTCATTTATGCAACATAAAAGCAGCTCATACTTAATCAGCATTAAATGTTATTACTACCACTACTAATTAGTGAGAAGGCCTATACTAACATATAACTATCAATAAAAATTTTTAGAAAAACTTATGGTTTCCCATTGTAGATATGTGTAACTTTCATTTATGCAACATAAAAGCAGCTCATACTTAATCAGCATTAAATGTTATTACTACCACTACTAATTAGTGAGAAGGCCTATACTAACATATAACTATCAATAAAATTTTTTAGAAAAACTTATGGTTTCCCATTGTAGATATGTGTAACTTTCATTTATGCAACATAAAAGCAGCTCATACTTAATCAGCATTAAATGTTATTACTACCACTACTAATTAGTGAGAAGGCTTATACTAACATATAACTATCAATAAAAAAAATTTAAACAGCAATAAATACCAACAATAATTTCTTAACAAAGCTAACATTATGATGTATTTTCCATTTCTTAACATTATTCCCATGCCAATTCTTAATACCACAATCAGAAAAAAAAAATTATATACTAAACACAGATACATACACAGCTGAAGTCACTTATTATAAGTCCCCTGTCCAAGCCATGTTAAGCAAAGACTCTAAACACAGCACTGACAAGAAGGGGGGAAAAGAAAGAAATGTTGATGAAGAAATAAATTAACCACACTGACCTATAAGAGCCGTATGAATACAATTATAGAATATTTAAGAATGAAAATACTGTTTTTAGTCATATTTCTATGATTTCAATATTTTGTTTTTAATACCTTTTCTATTTAATTTATTCTCGAATAATAAACGATGAAAAAATAACTGATGATATTTTATCTCTCATATTAGCTGAGCTGAACTGATAATGGAATGAACAATAATAAAATAAAGTTAACACATTTTTAAATAAAATTATTACCAACACATAATTCAGTTAAATTAAAATATCAAGTTAATGAATTTCAACATATAGAAAAGAGACTAGGCAGTATAGAATAAATCCACGATTTTTGATACACTGATATCACAAGCGGTTTTATTCATGCAAATTATCATTAAGTATCAAAATGTATATATACACCAACATTTTAAATACATGCAAAAGGGATAGTTGATATTAAGCAGCAACATTTAACATTGTAATGCACATTTACAAATAATGAAAGTGTTTAAAAGCTGCATGCATAACATTTACATATAAAAAAAATATTGTATTTTTGCTAAATATTTTTAAAATACCTTCTTCTTCACCCTCATCTTCTTCTTCAGTACTTCTACTGTGCATATTTTTTAATTTTTTACGCTTTGCTGCAGCTTTTCGTCGAGCTAGATTTTAGTAGAATGAAATACATGTTTTAGCAAAAAATAATTAAAATAACTTGAATAGTTACAAAAATAATTTATAATAAGAATAGATATAGCAGAATAAAAATTATTCAGATCATTTTGCAAAAAAATAATGAAATAAGAAAGCGGAGAATGGATTGAGTTAGATTTCAGTTAAATTTTAGATAGATAACACAAGATTTTAACAATAAAAGCTAAATAAAAATGTATAATACAACATTGTGCTTATAAGACATAGCAGTTTTTATTTGGCTTACAAATTTTTTTTTTTATTTCTCATGTTAAGAAATAACGTTTTCACATTAATTATTTATTTTAGTTCAGATGATAATTAATGTTGAAGTTTTATCACAGCAAAATTAGGTGGTACGCAATGTGGCGTTTGACAATTAAATGTGTTGACAAATGAAGTTTTTGACAATTGAAGAACCATGGAACAATGCATACAACATTGTTCTAGAATTGGGGGAAAAAAACTAGGTATCTATTAAAATAAAAAATTCAATTTTAAAATTTTTTTAAAAAACTGATTTTTTTTTGTTTTATTTAAATACATTTTAAGTTCCATATTAAATGCAGGGTTGGCAGGTTTTTGACATGTGACAGTTTAAACCATGGTTTAAACCGTCACGTCAAAAACCTCACTGTCAAAAATGTCGGAAATGTCAAAAACCTATATTCATATGTGAAATTTAAATAATACATAAAATTTATATATTTTTTATAAAGGATAGTGTTTCTAAATATGTTCTAGAAAAAATAAATTTAAAATTTTGAAGAAACACTTATATTTTGAATAGTAACCAAAATCTTGTACTTTTGAAAGCTCACATCTTTTGTAATATTATGTATTCATTTTCATGTGTTATTGAAAATCTGCAGTGATATTATTAAGAAATTTATTTATAACCAAATTTAGTGTATAGTATAGATTATACTAAAAATTAGACATTTTTAAAGATAAACATTAGCAGTTTTGTACATTAGACATCTTTTAAAGAAAAATCTTTTTAATATTCTTTTAAATCTTCTTAATAATCTTTTTAACATAAGACAATACAAATTTAAGTGCTTTCTGTTAAATACACAGAGTAGTTAGTGTCGATTTACAGTATATTCAGCCTATTCATTTACTATGCTGAAAATTTAGTTTATCCAAATACTTGTGAATTTCATTTTGCTGAATACTATATAGTTTTGTTGAATATCTAAATATTCAGCTGTTGAATAATTACTTCTTGCTTTCAAGATATGCATTATTTGTATTCTTAATACAAGTGGAGAAAAAAAAATTAAGAGATAAAAATTGTTTTAAAATGATAAGTGTAATAATTATAAATAAATATAATAAACAATATGAATTATATTTATCATTATTCATAAATATAACTACTTTTAAATTCAAATTAACATACTGGATAATAAAGATATTCGGTATAACATTAAAAAAAAATTTTTATACACTTGTATCTTATATCAAGTTTGTATTTATACAACATAACTTGTAAGTTCCTTATAAATATTAGTTATATGTTCCTTATATGTCAAAAATGCATAGTAATAAACTTTTAATTTTCTTAAGTATCAAAAAGAAAAAAAAAATTTTTTTAAATATAAATATTTAAACAATTTTTGTGCAAAATTTTTCTGCACATGCATTTGAATATAAATTTCTGAGATTTTAAATCTGTTATTTTACCTTAATTTTAATTAAAAAATATTTTAAAACCTGCTGATTACCTATAGTATAATTAAATTTCAATATAATGCATGGCAACTGTTGGTAGTTTTGAAGTTTATATATTTTCTTGGCAAACTTCAGTTTTTGACATTTTTGACGGGTTTTTGACGGTTTAAACCAGTATTATACCCTTGTCATGTCAAAAACCACTTTTTGACGTCAAAAACCCAACCCTGATTAAATTTAAACTAAATCATTAAAAAAATATTTTATAAAATCTTTAACAATTAATAAATATTTTTAAGAAACAATCTAAAATTAACTATTTTTGTTCCATAAAATATTGGGTTGAGTAAAAAAAAAAGTCATTGCCTTTTCCCCCCAACAGATTGCAATAGTGCAGTTTCTGAAGTACTAGAAGCACTTGCAATAATAGTATTTACATCATTGATAGCTGACATTTTAAGCTTCATTGTAAAGAGCAAATTGAGGTATTTTGTCAAGTTTTGAAGATTTGACAGTACATTGAACATGGAAAAACAAAATATTCATTTGCGTCATATTTTTACTATTTTACATTCGTAGAAGGAGAATTGTTTAATGTTTTTGTTGAGGATGCTCTACATGAAGGTTATTGCCAAAACTGGTTCAAGAAATTTTGAGCTGGTGATTTTGCCTCGAAAGATGCTCCTTCCTCTGGAAGGCCTTCCCGCATTTATGACGTAATTACGACATCGATCAAGTCAAATCCACGTTAGATATTGGGACACTGAAGATCAGTCTTAACATCCATCTAAAGAAATTTGATAGTATGCAAGCTCGAAATTTAGGCTCCTCACAAATTTGAAGAAGTACATTTGACAGCACAAATAAACATCTGCAATAAGCGCATGAAACAAGAAGAAAACATTTTTTTTAAAGGAATGATAACTGGTGATGAGAAGTGGATTGTTTAGAACAATGTGGTGCGTTAGTTAACGGTTTTAGTCCTGAGGTGAAGATTCACCATCAATGACTTCAAATCCAGAATTTCAGAGGAAAGAACACCTCTCAATAAGGTGGGATTGGAAAAGTGTGGTGTTTTTTGAGCTACAACCAAGGGAGTGGAATAATCAATTCAGATGAGTACTGTAGGCAATTAGTCAGTTTGAACAAATCTATCTGAGCGACAAACGTAAAGGAGTAGTGTTCTATCACAAAAACCGGAGATGGTGAAAAGTTATTGGAGCTTGGATGGGATGTGTTGCCCCACCCACCATACTCTCCCGACCTTGCATCATCAGAATTTCACTTGTTTTGCTCTCTTCAAAATTCCTTACTTGGAACAACAAATTGGAAGAAGTACATTTGACAGCACAAATAAACATCTGCGATAAGCGCATGAAACAAGAAGAAAACATTTTTTTTTAAAGGAATGATAACTGGTGATGAGAAGTGGATTGTTTACAACAATTTGGTGCGTTAGTTAACGGTTTTAGTCTTGAGGTGAAGATTCACCATCAATGACTTCAAATCCAGAATTTTAGAGGAAAGAACACCTCTCAATAAGGTGGGATTGGAAAAGTGTGGTGTTTTTTGAGCTACAACCAAGGGAGTGGAATAATCAATTCAGATGAGTACTGTAGGCAATTGGTCAGTTTGAACGAATCTATCTGAGCGACAAACGTAAAGGAGTAGTGTTCTATCACAAAAACCGGAGATCACACACATATTTGGTGACCGGTGAAAAGTTATTGGAGCTTGGATGGGATGTGTTGCCCCATCCACCATACTCTCCAGACCTTGCATCATCAGACTTTCACTTGTTTTGCTCGCTTCAAAATTCCTTACTTGGAACAACGTTAAATTCAGAAGAGGCTGTAAATCAGCATCTTGTTCTGTTATTCACAATTAAACTCAGGTCCTTTTACAAACGAGGAATTGCAAAACTCAGCGAACATTGGTAAAAAGTCATTGACCAAAACGGAACATATATCATTGACTAAACTTTAATTCTTATATAAATATATGACTTTGAAAAAAAATAGGGAAAAAAAACAAAACACAATGACTTTTTAGTCAACCCATTATCTAAACTTGATTTTAAAAGAATTATAAATAAAGATTTTAAATATGCTTATACATAACTCTGCAATTTACCATGCAAAGAAAAATTTCATTTCAAAAATTTGTATTAGTAATGCATACAAAAGAGCATATTTTTAACCTACCCGAAAACCTAGGTGATTTTTAAAAAAAATAAAACCCAATAAAATTCAGGCTTAAAAGTTTTTTAAAATTTTATTAAGCATAATTAAAATCTGCCCTTTTTTAAAATCAATTATTTCTTTATTGACATATAGCATGAATAGATATATATAACTTTGCCTACAAAACTTGGTGTACAACTATATAATATTTGATTTACATACTGTTTATAGCCAGCATTTTGAGTTAATGGTCATATATTTTTTATTTTGCATGAGACATAAAAGAGGTTACAATTAAATAAAGGGGTAAAAAATTAAAATCAAGGTTAAAAACCTAATACATGCTTTGTTTTCCTACTTAAAAAAAACTACAACTCTAAGACTATTTGACTGCATTTCATTTATTTGTCTATCAAATTAGTAAGATACAATATCTCTAGTTTATACACACAATTAAAAAAAAACACTACCTGAAGTAAATAGGAACATTTTAAATTTACCTTAAAGCAATGGTAAGTGAATTATGAACCTTTGAACAATCATGAATTATATCTTAAAAACACATTATTGAATGGCAAGATAATATATTTAAAAATATGATTGTTTAAAATAAATTGTTGCAACTTGATTTTTTTTTAATGTTTATCCTATCACAGTATAACTTGAACTGTTCCAGGGTTAATCATTTGTAATAGTTTATAATTCAATTATAAGTTTTGGATAACTTGTTACAAAACCAGATAACAAACACAAATCAATTTGGAGTTAAAAGTATAGTCACTAAAAATATTGAAATTCTATTATTCAAATAACTTTTTGATACTCATTTTGAAAAAGAACACAATATAGAAAAATTAAATGGTTTTAGAAAACTTCATGGTAATAAGACTCCTAAGGATTCCATTTTTAAATTGCTTTCATGCATTCTTTCAAGAAATTTTATACTTTTATTATAAACATTTTATTTCATCTAATTCATCAACTAAACAAAATATAAAGTTTATTAAATTATTTTTCATTTCAGGTATAAAAGTATTTCCAAAGGAAAGAACAGCATCAGATTTTGTTCTTGTAGAAATTTAATTGTTTATTTCCATATCATAATCTTCTTTCTAAACTGTACTTCAATTAATAACATTTCAACTTATGAATTGCTTAAGTATCATTAGTCAAGATGAAATTTGCTGAATGGTTTTCATTTTACAGGCCTAAGAGTACTTCCAGAAGAAAGAACAGAATCAGTGTTTGATTTTTTTTCAGTTACAGATATAGTAACATTAGAGGAAGAAACTTAATCAACTTTTTTAGTTATCGGAGTAGGAATTTCTTTATCTGAATTCATCTCAGGTATATCACTCATTTCAATGGTTGATTCTCTACTATCAATAACTACACTTCTCGGAAATATTTTATATTTTCTTAACTTCGACTGGGTTTGGATTATTTTTGTAGATTGCAGAGGAGGGAAACTTCGACAAGGTTCATAATTTGGATCATCATTAGCAAAATGTGGCTTATACTTCCTAAGCTTGGCTGTTCTCCAACCAGCATACTTTTTTGGTTTTCGTAAAATTCGTTGCTCATATCTTTTTTGCACATTATCATCCCAGCCAAGAACTTTATAATACCATGCATAATCCCTATCATATAATCTGTCCTTGTCTGCTTTTTTGGTTGTATCCTTTTTCAAGAAATGATGAGAATAATATTCCGCTAAATTATTATATTCTTTGGCTTTAGGGTAAGGTAAAATATTTTTCATTATCTCATAAGGTTGATCCAGAAAAAATTTTGGATCAAAAGAATCTGAGCAAAAGTCCAATTTTGGGTCGATGGGTTGCGGAATGAAATTTGAATCATTGTCGATAGATTCAGAAGGAATATCTGACGTTACATTAAGTGAACTAGGATGAATTTCTGATATTGGGTCAATAGAGCCCAAATGAAAGTTAACATCATAGTTTGGGTAATCATTAAAGTTTTGATATCTAGTTCTGCAAAAATAATTACTATTATTATATGCAGGATAGTGATATACTGGAGTCGGCAATAAAGGAGACCTATACATAAAAGGACCCTTCGGCCTAGCCATGTTATAATAAACACATAGAGAAAAAGTAAATTCCTTAATTTATATTACGCGCCGATTAAAAATCAAATAAAATAAATATAAGCATCAAAGAATGAAGTGAAAGTAGAAGTTGAATGAAGGAAAATAAAGTAGAATTAATGTAGGAAGTAAAAAGGCGACGAGCAACAAAAAAATTTTAATCTAAAGCTTAACGCGCCATCTAGTAAAACAAAAACTATACTATAAAAAAGGTATTGAGTCACTTACTGGATTTTGAATGTACATTTTGGCATTATAACGTTGAATTTAAATGAAAATAGCATGCTATCAAATAAAATAAAATCACGCAAGCTGTTTTCTACTTTCAATATTATTATTTTATTTTTACATAACATTTTCTCCCTCAAGGTGCGATGGCTGCGGTCAGTGTGCGGGTGGGTGATCACTTGGATCAGTCTGCGTAGGGACCGAGGGTGTGCGGTATTGGTCCTCGTTAAACTGTTCCACCGTAAAGTGCTTGACTTCGCGTGCAGGTCGTCGGGCTACCGAAGCGGGGGTGCCATCCCCTCTGCTGAGGATCAAAATTGTGATGGTATGTCTTCGGATCATCCTCCGGGATGTTTCCCAGACCATCGCCAATAGCCCATTGTGCAGCTCTAGTGCGACGTAAATGAACAACAACAACTCCCCCAAGGTGCGTAAAGATTTGAAAAAAGAAATGATTTTATGCTATTTATAATTTTAGTATCAAATTAATTATTTTTTTATATAAAACTTAATCCCTTTACCAATATTGTTTTAAGCAAATGAAAGAATTTAAAATATCATTGACAATGAATGCTGCTTAGAATTTATCACTAAACTATGACGAAGTTATTAATATAATAATAATAATAAACAAAACTTAAGGACCCAAGTAGCGCAATATGTGTTATAAAATTAAAAGAGATTGATATCTAAAAAACAGCTCTAATAAAAACGAGTGTTTTTTCCTAATGGTAAAAAAAATAATGATGAAATAATAATTTTTAAACTATAATTATAAAAGAAACTATTTTTAAGATTAAGATTTTATTACTAATTTCTCAACCTTATATTAATGCAAGCGATGTAAGGACTTTGTACTTCATTGATGAAAAGGAAGCCTAAAACAGGCATTTTTCTGAATATTAGTTAAAAAAGATTTAAAAACGTAAATAACTGAAATAATTTTTACTCTTCCAGTATACGTATAACAATTTTTTTACATATGAGCATGAAAATTTCGCAATATCATTAATTTTATTCAGTTAGATATGATTTTGAAAATTCATAGTAAATTTTTACTTTTTGCAAATATAATTCAACGAAATCCACGCTTAATATCCGATATCACCTTCAGTCGTGGCAAAAATACTAGCAAGATTGGATCTAGTCAAGATTGGATTGGATAGAGTTCAATGACACAAAAGTAGGAATCAGTTATACTGTTATCAGCTATAACAGCAATGTTAGAAGCTCGATAATACTTTCTCAAAGTTAGGAAATCAAATGGTATCATAAACTATGTTTGGCGCAAAAGAATAAACAAGTAATACAGTTTACTATGGGGATGGAAACCTTGAACTCATATACACATGAGACCGAATCTTCTGGGTTGACGTCTGAACTACAAATTCCCGAGATATTTTACATTTCAATAATTATTTATTTTTAGTTTCCTACGTAAGATTAGTACACGTAAATTAATGCTGATAATTTTCGAGACGTATGGGGTAACAACAAGGTGATATAGCGAATTTGTGTAGTGAAATTCCAAAACACTTTTTATCAAACCTAATAATGTCAACGAAAAGGAAAAATTATTAAAAAGAAAAACAAAATTGTGTCAAAAGGACTTTCAAGAATTACATACTGTTCATATATTCATACTGTAGATTATTTACTGAAATTTCTAACTTTTTATTTCTTTTCAAATCGTTAGTTATTTTATAGGACATTAGGTATTTTATATGTTTTTTGGATGTCCGCAGCTATGCATTCTTCTCCTCAATTACTTTTTTCAACCTGTTATTGCTAAGGTGACATATTTTTTTTCATACATTTACACATTCAATTATTTTACTAATATAAAATGTTATAATTTAAAATCTTAAAACTTTAAAAAAAAATCATACCTTCCATTATGTGCAACTTTTCTTCCTCTGTTGTTCTTTCTTCATTTAAAATAACTTCCTCTGCAAAAAAAATTCGTTTCATGATTAAAATGTACTAAAAAATTTAATTACGCATGAGGGGAATACGTTTATTACGTAATAAGTTTAGTTTTGTTTATCCAAAGAAACAAAGAGGAAAACTGTTTGACTTAAGGCATACTGAAAGTGAGGTAGCTGGGGCACTACTCTGATTACTCCTGGAACATTTCCGGGCATGAAAAGTTCTATGAAAAGAAAATGCATGATTTGATGACACGTTGGATTTCATGCTCTAATCATTATGGCACTGTTTCGAATTGGTAATGTGACATTTTGTCAATAAATGTTATTATTATTTTATTAGTTTATTTTATTTGTTTATTTTATTTTAGTCTTCTACACTCTTATATCGTTATCAACATCAGTTTAACACAGAGCTTAAGGACATTAAATTAGAATCTAAATATAGTTTAGATTCTAATAGTTTAGATTCAAAAAATGCTAAAAAAACATAAATGAAAAGCATGTAAAATTTCAAGGAACTAAATATTCTCATAAAATCAAATAACAAAAATATTGCTGAATGCAGATTAAATAATTAATAAATATTTATGATTTAAGTTAACTTATCATTTGAGTCTTATATTTTAGCCCAACTCTTGACATGTTTTGCCCGTAATAAATTTAAAAAAAATGATCGTTTAAAAATATATTGATAAAAATTGAATGAATTCAGATTTATCCCTGAAAAAATTTCGTCAATTATGGATCAATTTTTTTTTCTAATAAATTAAAAATAAAGACTTTCTCAATGCTAGTTCTATTGGTTTTATTTTTTATCAGCGATCATAAACGTATATTTTATGGAGATGATCAAAAAATATCCTCTAAAGAAAGTGCTCGAATCTTGAATGACTGCAGCAACAATTGCAAAAGTATCGTCTCGGTACGATGTTCAAGAGCACACGGCCATTACAAGAGCACAAGGCCACTAGGGGACCACACAGAATAATATTTTGGAGTTATTTCTACAACACGGTATGAGAAAAGAGATAAAAGTGAATTACAAATTTGTAGGGTAGTATAGATTTGGAAAACAGACTTCTTATTGACATTAATGTCGCAAAGTGACTAATGCCACATTATGTCATAATGATGTTGACATTAATGTCAAATATCGAACGAAAAAAAATTCAAATTTCCAGCGTTTCATTCTCATCATACATGTCCAGAAGGTATTATTCGTATTAAGACAATTATGCTCTGAAACTTCGTAATTAACTTTTTGCTCTATGTTATATCGGTTTTAAGATAAAAACTTTAACTCAGCAGTTTTTCAAAAGGTAGCGCTGTCATAGGTCTCATCTTGTAGCACAGAGCCACTTTATTAAACTCAAACACTATTATTATTTTTTAACTATAGCTGAAGCCGTTCAAAAATTAAGAGGATCGCAACGGATTTTAACTTTTGTATAGTAGATGGTTAAGTAAAAAATAGCAAGCAAAAATTTACTGGAGTAAAGTTTTATTCTTCCTCAAATAAACACATTCTTATTTCCCATTAAAAACCAATGAAAATATGAAAATTGTTGATACTATTCCTTCGAATGATACCATTTCACTATAATTTCATTTACTTTTTGCCGAATAGTCATTTTTAGAAAGATCGATTTGGGAATGGCAATCTAGTAAGTCTATAAATAATGAGATGATCCAAAAAGGAGAGGTGTTTGACCTTATAAATCTATATTGAAATACAAAGAAAAAAAAATATTACGGAGAAAATACAGAGAAAAGAAAAAGACAATCATATAATGAATTACTAATAGTTTCGACACCTGCTCTACTCTTTACCGTAGTAAAATAAAATATATATATATATGTATTTACACGCAATGTTAAATGTAGCTCGTCTATTAGAAAAATGCTTATTTTACTTTATAGAAAGCGATGAGAGTAGCAAAAATTAATTTTAAAACAAGTAAAATTTACTTAATAGTATGGCTCGAAAAATCGAAAATTTTTTTACATACCCTTTCAGGTGTGTTAGCTTACAAAGTACACGTTCGAAGGAAATTTTTACATTCCTGAACATCTTTTGATAGCATATTACTTAAAACATATTAATGTAACCATTATAAATATAATGAAAAGTATGGTATTAACAAATGACTCATTAGTATTTTTGTTTTAATTATAAATCAGAAATATTATTAACAAATATCAATAAAGTGTTATTAACAAGAATGTATTAAGCATTGAGGTATACTTTTCTGATAATTTCTTTCTTCTCTTTTGATGCTTTTTTTCATCACCCCTTCCAACGTCTTTGAGATTTTCATTAGAATTTGAATGACATTTAATTGGTACTTTACGGTACTTCTAATTTAATACTTACGAGCCCGGCAGGGGAAGTAAATATTCAATCATCTACCCAATTAAACAAATCAAATCAAATTTAATCAATGCAAAATAATACCTTTTGATGACTTACATATACGCAACTTTTTTTGCGATTTGTACATTTCTTGGCGTAGAAAATATATTAATTACCCGGAGGCTCCGAGAATAATAAATGTATACAGTATTTTTAGTAATATATATATAGTGATTCTAAATTGATACAGTAAATATTGATGGTGAATTAACAAGTATTCAATAATGCTTCAGGATGCAAACATTTCCCTCGTAAAGCAGATTATACTTTTATAAAATACATAATTTGAAATTTCTGGTGGATTTACTTGATTCTAGATTTAGGTATTATTAAATAGGTGTAAATATTTCATTGAATCGAAAATTCTGATTGTAATTATTGTTACATAAAAATAGAAATATACGTAAAAGGGTTACCTGCCTTGATTAGTGCTTTGCTAAAAGTGCTTACCTGCTTTGCATATCCACTCGACGTATCCGTTAAGCTCTCTTTCTAATTGTTGCTGTCTTCTAAGTTTAATAAATTCTTGTTTATTTTCTACTCGCTCTCTTTCTTTCGCGAATTCTCTGAAAAGCAGGAAATCGAAAAAAAAATATTGAAAACGACATTTTATTTCTTCAATTAGTATAACAATGAAATTTCAGAATTTGTTCGAAATAATTGTTTTATGTGTCGACCTCTAGTCAATGTGATTAGGAAAATGTCAATGCTCACTGTTAGTCATGGTTTGGAATGTTGTCAGAGTTCGAAAATAACTCTTCTTGGTGTCGATATTCATTACAATTTGAGAAATGCCAATGACAAGTGTGGTTCAAAATAGGATTAAAATAATTTTCTTATGTATCGATGTCCTAGCATTGTGGTTTAAGAAATGTAAACGATCATTGTGAATTACGGTTTGAAACATAGACATAGTTCGGGAATAATTCCTTTTTGGTGTCAATGTTAAGTCATTATAATTTGCGAGATGATTATGTCAATTGTGAATCATAGTTCAAAATTTGTTCATATTTCCTAAAATAACACCTCTAGGTGTCGACGTCCAATTATTGTGATTAAAGATACATTAATGTTGATTGTGAATCATGGTTCGGAATAAAGTCCTAGTTCGAAAATAATTTTCTTTTAGTGTCAATAATTAGCCAACTTTGATAAGTTTTAGTAACCCTTCTGTTGATTTTCAACTTTCTGTTTTTTTTTTTAACTCCATACTATTTTAGAATAATTTAATTTTGACTGAATAAATTTCTAGCATATTAAGAGATAAGATCATGAAATGAGCGGTAACAAGTGTAACAAAATAGCGAGAAATGAAACAATATCAGAAAAATTGCATCAAATTTTGCTTTTTTTGAATAGGATATATCATTTGAATCTCCATAACTCATCAGCATAACTCCTGTCATATCATATTTCACCCAAAAAATATTAACTTGAAGATTGTGAAAAAAGAACCTTCCAGAAATGCCATATTATGCAGGATATTCTGTAATGATGAGGAAAATGTTGTAAATTTTTGGAATTCTTGTCAAAACTGAAGTCAAATGGTTCTACAAATGGTTGCAAATTTATATATTTAAGACAAAAAAAAGGCGACATTAAAATCACTACTCAAGATGGACCAAAAGCATCAAAACCAGTCTGCTCGTTTCATTAAACTTGGAGGTGTTTCATAAAATCTCCTTTCAACTCCTTTCTGTTTCTTCTGACAAGCAAACAGGTTTTATTATATTAAGTTTAGCCTTCCTCTGTAGTGATTCATAAAATTTTTGATAGGATGTTTATTTTCTTTCTGGCTCAATTATATATCTGAGTTCCCATATATATATATAAATATATATTAAGGGAGCGTATTATGAAACAGTCAATATAATTATTGACTTTATACCTACTTTAAAATTATTATTATCTGATTTAATAAGAGTTTCCACGACACTTTTTGAATTACAAATTTTTGAGAAGAAATTGTTTGAAATTATGAAAAATATAAAAAGGAGCATTAAAATAACCCTTTCAAAGATTTATTGCAGAATTTTTCAGACTTGTTTTGCAGAGTACGTCAAAGGAAGGCAACCTTGGAATATGCTGCTAAATTTTACTCAAATTTTGTATAAACCTTCAAAATAATTCGATTTTTTTTATTGTAAAAATATTATTTATTTTTTCTTTTAGGTGCGTGCACAAAACTCTATTGATTTTGGGTTACATATAGTAGAACAGAAAAGTTTTGAAATTTTTCATAACGTAAAAAGAAGAGTTAAGCGAATTCTTATAAAAGCGTGAAAATAACATTCTTTGAATGCATTATCTGGAATAAAGTAAATAGAAAACGGCCTTAAGGTACGATACTAATTTTTATTGATTTTCCTGAGTAAATTTATACAATAGCTAAGATCTTCACTCATAGATATCTTGTTATGAAAAGCTTTATGAAAAGGTATCTATTTCTTTTTCAGAGGCTCCGATGCATGCACAAAATGCTACCGAAAACCTCGGTAGACGAAAAGAGAAAATGAGAAGATCTAATCGATAACCGCTGTCTCATTGAGAAATACTGGCGGGGAAGTTGTGAAAAGCAATAAAATGCAGATGGCGATATGTTGGCGAGAATTGTCGGTTTTGAAGCTTATCACTGGGGACAATTCAAGATTTGTTTTATTTACTATCTTAGATGAGAACTCAAACAACAATGCAACAGCGCGCTCTGACCCAGTTGGAGTAGGGCCAACTCTTCCATATCGGTCAAGGAAAACTATCTCTGTGGGTTTTTGAGTTATCAGAAATTGACCATTTGGGAAAATATCCAATACAGCCCCTTTGAAAAAGTTTTCGAGATTGTTATAGTCACCCCCTATAAGATGTTGCATCAAAGAATTTTGCAACTTTTTTTTTCCTTCTTTTCCCTCTTTCTTTCGTCACGCAGCTTCGTGTTTGAGAAATCGATATTTTTGGGCTAAAATTGCTTTCAGATGATAAGAAAAATGTGCCAGTTTTACAAGGTTGATAAACAGCTATCATTTGATCGTGATATTGCTTGCAAATATATGTCATTTTAAAGGTTTCCAAGACAGTGTTTTCTTAGATGCATTCAGGGGGAACAAATTTAATACGTGTGTGTCAAGAAAAGTTTCTTTTTAAAGTACATCTTTTCGATGTTTTGAAAATTTTTGGACTGAGATTTTATGAATGAATATTGAGATTGCAGTCGGGATTTTTTTAAACGCTAAAAAGTGAAACTTTAACATTGTTATAAGTGATAAAATAATTTTAAAGCAAATTTGAGATCTGACAAAGCAATCTAAGTTTAAAGAAAATAGACTCTTAGAAACATCGGTTCGGTTTAGGTGTCTTGAGCATTGAAACGACGTAAGTTTGCTGTAATTTTATTAATGTGCTGATTTTAACCATTTTACTGTTCAAATAAAAACGTAGTATCATGTTATCAAGTTTTAAAAAAAAACGAAAGTAAGGTTCAACTTATATATTATGGTTTCTTCAAGTTTGGAAATAAATGTAAATAAACAAATTTAATGATTTCTAATATTTTGAATTTTAAAGAATTTAAGCAACAAAAATTTTACAAAGGTATTAAATTCTTTAAAAGTCAAAATTGATATTTAAATACTAATACTTTCATAAATGTTTTAAATTTTCAAACAAATTGGTAATTATTTGTGAGAATAAAAAAAAATGACAGGCAATATTGTATTTTTTGGGAAATAAACGAAGACATAAGACTTCTTTGACATTCCTACGTGCACACTCGTACTAATAAGTTAATAGGAATAGTTATCACTGATTAGTTCATATGAGGGCAGTGAAGCAAAAGAGAAAGTTCATTAATTCTCTTTCTTAATTCCTCTAATTCTCTTCTAATATTATGCGTCGTTTAGGAACAGCTCATCAGAGTACGTTTTATAAGTTCAATAGATGCGTCGTTAAGGGTATTTTTCAAAGATAATTTGGATTACATGCAATAACTGAAATAATAATTTAATATTTTGGGTTACTGAAATAGCATGCAATAGAACATTTTTTTAGAAAATAATATGCTAATAATTTAGCTAAAGCCCTCTAAGCTGAGTGAGAAAATGGCACTAAGTATAAGAAAAAAGAAAAATCCATAGTTCTGCAAAAGTAAAGAAGTGTTTGTAATCGGATTTTTTAATTTTTAAAAAGCTATACCAGCACTGAATAGTCTATGCTTATAAAAATGCGCTAATATTAAAAATTTTCCTTTGATTTTGATAAATCTTATCTGTGTGAAAAAAACTCACCAAATTGGCAGTTTTAAAAAAGTTTAATAATTCTTTTTAATTATATCAGCTATTTGCCAGCACTAAAGCATATATAATTCTTTGCACCCAAATGGTAAGCGCCATTTAAAATTTAAGCTTAGCTTTGATTTTAAGGCACTTTAAATTGTGGCTTTTTAATTATCTTGTTGAAGAAGCTTAAAAAAAATAACATTTTAATCCTCACTACCTTGTTTAGGTTTTCCTTAACTTTCAAATTACACCTTATTAGTGGCTAACACAGCTTCACACAGGCCCATGTTTTCGTATTTGAGATTTTTAATTATTGTTTCTTTTTATACACTGTCAAGATGTTTTTGATTTTTCTTTTTTCACGAGAATTTGAATCAATTATTTTTAAACTTTGCATTTCTACGGCTTTCTCAGCCAATGCCCTCTCCACTGCCCTGTTCTCTTCATAATTTCATGTTTTATTGGTTTTTATTTACCTCTTAAAAGTAGTCGTGAGTAGTTTATAACTCTATGTAATTATTTCTCTAACATCTGCCGAAAATGTTTGTTTATGTAAATGGTATTTCTCCCGGCTAGATATATTATTATGCTGCATAAAGAAAGATTGATTTTACGTTTGTATTAAATATTCTTTACTTAGTTATGAGTGAAATTTTTCTGTTCTTCTAGAAAGTATTTACAGTAGAAAAACTTAAAAATGGCTAATAGGTGTCAAGCCAATTCATATCTCAGTTGTTTGCTAAAGTGTATGCAAGAAATAACATAGAAGTAAAAATATGTTTTACACGAGGATCGCGGAGAAGGTCATAAAACTATTAGTTTATTGGACACTTGTAGTAACATGACTATTAGTGTAGTGGTCACTTATTGTAACATGACTATTAGTGTAGTGGACACTTGAACTAATATGAAAGTTGAAATATTTTCTTCAGATCCATTTACTCATAGCTGCCGTGTTAAAACACACTATAATGCATTTTCTATGACCAATGCATTTTAAGTCAGCATTCACAGTTGTTAGCGTTTAGTCAAGCCATCACTTTGTGTCGAAACACAAATCCACAAAAGAAAACACTATAGGCAAACAAGTTGAAACAGGAATAAAAGTGGTTTGATTAATAGTGAAGAGGAACAAGAAGTTATTTGTTTACGGAACCGAAACTATGGTACGGTTGTTTTTGTACCTTTATTTGTGCTTTATTCACGATGTTTAGCTTTATTCACGATGTTTAGCTTTATTTACGATGCTTAGCTTTATGTACGATGTTTAGCTTTATTCAAGATGTTTAGCTTTATTCATGTGTAGAACAAATTATACCCAATCTTCATTTGGAGACAACTTTGAATTTAAAAACTTACTCAAATAAAATAAAATAAAATAATAATTCTCTTGTATCATAAAATTATTCGTGCTTTTAATAGTTAAACACCATTGTTTCCCACATACAGCTCTGACAACATTTCATGTTCAATTGAGTAACATTTGCAGACGTAGGTAAGAAATAAATAATAAACAAAAATATTCAACATTAATCATGATTGGATACTGAACGTCAACATTTGCCGGTGTAAGTGAGGAATAATGATGCAGCAAAAGTTTGGTACATTTAATACAAGAACCCGATAAGCCATTAACATTAACATAAGCCATTAAGTGTTAATGTCGGCAGCTATCGTTCTTTCACTGCAACACAAGTTATCTTTCGAATAATAACAATTTTCTGCTTTTTTAAGAGAGAACAATTTTTTTGAGCACCCTGATATATTTTGTATTGTTTTATCTATCTTACGATAGAAATCTCAAAACCTACGATAAAGTTTTTATTTAAGTTTATTTTGATAAATGTCGCTATTGAAAAATCGTATAATGGTATAAGTGCTACAAAACTAATACGTTCATAACAAAATTCGTTAATTCTTCAGAGCTAAAAATCAATTCACTCACCCGCTAAGGACACCGAGCACTAAATTGAGCATAAAAAAGGATCCGATGATGATGAGAGGTATAAAATAGATCCAATTGAAATAACTCCCCATTGAATCATTCGTCTGTAAAAAATAAAAACAAAGTTATGATTAGAGTATAGATGCATAGATTAAAATAATATTTTCAGTCAAATGCCACATCTTGAGACAATTTTCAAGATTAGAAATAACATTTACAAAGATGTACAAATAACAATCTAAAATTTAAAAATGCATTATAAAAAATGTGAAAATATCTTTGCACTTTCAGAAAATAAATTACTAGTAATTTCATATTTTTTATTTAATTTCTTAAGTGTTTTGTCCTAAGCATCGCCCATGCGCTATGGTGGATTCAGTTTTTGCCCTTCATAGCTTGGTGTCGATTCCTCAAGCTAATTGTTTCGTCGGATAGCAGCTTCTCGGATCATTTCTTAGTAGCTCTAAATTCAGTCTATTATAATGCTCACAGGGGTTATTAAACTTGAAAAGTCCATGTGTGGTTGGGTGTTTGGGAAGTGTGTTGCAGAGTTCGGGTGAACAGTGAACTCTATCCTTTAGATCTAAATTGTAGCAGCATAAGGCACGTATTATCTTCAAAATATCACAATCGACGATACATACTGTATTAGTGCAATAATTACAATAAAATAAATTTGTCTTAAGTCAAATATACATTTGTCTTAAATTTAATTAAGGATACCTCCTATTACTTGGAAGACTTTGGGACTTTGTGTTATGTTTGGACAACTTTAATACTTCTTGTGACATAATAGTATTTTATTGGATCTGTATCAAACTGGTATAATAAAAAGTTTAAAATTTAATTAGTTCAAAAAAATTATTGAAAATATAATGAAACCAACTATTATTGATTTAAGTTAGTTATTATCTTTTATATTTAGGGGAAATAAATTTACTTTGAGTGCCCTACGAAAGTAAGTAGTAAACTGTTTTTTAAACTGTTTTTTTTTTTAAAAAAAAGAGTAATGTTTTTCTGTTGATTACAGAATATTCAGAGAAAATATAGAGAAGGAGAATTCTTACGCCAATTCACTGTACATTGACGAAATTGAAACTTGAATATGAAATCTTAACAAGTATCTCTTAACATTACTAGATCAATTTCAGCAAATTTAAAAATTGTAATGCAGCCTGTTTTACTAATCTACGTTTGTATATAGAAATAATTCTAATTGTGTGATTGCTAGCTGTGCAATAGCGAAAGCATAGCAAAACTAAGGAGCGTGTGATGAGTGCGAAACCATCTGGAGGGTGAGATGCTGGTCATCAAAGGTGCTTGCAAATATTCTATTTGAAATCCACCTGCTTTTGTAACAGTAAAAAACTTCGTAATGTAAAGTGTGTATTATTTTTTTTCCATAATCTTACAAAAAATAACTAAACTACTAAACTAAACTCAGCGGCGCGACAGTCCTAGAGGGCCAAGGCCTACTGTGCCCATCTCAGTTTTCTTGACCTTGGGCTCTGGGATGCAGAAGCAGATGTTTCGGTCAGGTGGTCAGCCGAACGCGGAACCCCTAGTGTTTAGTTCCCAAGCATGCTGAAGGGACCTACTGAAGGGATGAAAGGCTGAGTCTACCCTGCCCGGCCCGAGAATCGAACCAGGGACCTGTGGCACGGCAGCGCGAAGAGCTACCGCTCAGCCACCGGGCGTCACAAAAAATAACTAGCTAATTAAATGTTTATAAAGCTATTTGAGTAATATTAAAATTCGTTTTAGTAATGCTAGATTGACTGCGAAGAGACACAGTGTGAAGCAATGATAAGCCAGAAATTAAAACAACGGCTAACAATAAGAAGTAAGAGTCGAGAAATTGTGTTCTAAAATTTAGAACAAATAAGTGAATTCCAGCATATATTTTCGGGTTTTCTACTTCAGTATTTTTCTTTGTTTGTTGCTTTGGAGGTTATATTTAACAGAAAAAGCTTAAAACTGTAGAAAAATATAATTAATAATAATTTGTTAAAATAAAGTCTTAACATATACAGAAAAATTTTAGGCTTGCCATTGTTTTAATATATGCCTTTCAAATTAGGAATTAACTTTTTAAAATGTAAATAAAATGTTGAAAAGGCAATATTTGTAAAGAGTTAATTACTATTCTACTATCACAAGAACTTCAAACACCGGAATCGTGTGCTGGCGGTTACTATGGACAGTAGGATAAGTCAGTTCGAGTATTGGTGTGGAGTTTGTCATTTCGCTTTGATATTGGTTGGAAGAATCATGTAATTTTTCTTAATTTTCTTCCTATTAGAAATGGTCATATTCTTGTTTCCATAGCAACAAAAAAACCTTAGACTTTCGGACGGGAGGAGTTCTTGTGATAGCTGAACAGTATGTGAAAGGATATATATTTTTTTTTATCTTACCCAGTACAACATGGCAGTCCAACCTTCCATGGTGATACATTGAAAAACTGTTAACATAGCAAAAAAGATGTTATCGAAACTAGTGATTCCGTAATTAGGTCCTTCCCAACCTTCTCTACAAACTGCTATGTCTTCATTGCAAAGACGCGTGCCATATGGAGCAGCTTCTGGTTCACCCTTATAGCACGGAGTTTCACTTTCTCCTTCTTTGAAGATTTCGGCTGAAATAGACAGAAAATAAAATCAACCATTTATATTTAATACTTTTGATTACAGAGAAGGGAAATACATAATCCAACTTTAGTTTAGATTCTTGGCACTTACACTAATTTGGAAAATATACAGAAGTAGAAGGGGGAAGTTTCTTAATATGAAACATTCTTTTTAAAATTAAGATTAGAATGTAATGATTATGATTTTCATTATTATTATATTTAATCTACATGTGACTGGGGAAAATTATTAAGGATCGGTTAGATTTGCAATACTCAGAAGTACCGCAGCGTTATTTAAAAAAATAAATAAAAACAATCGCACTGAATTTAGAAAAGGTGTGCTATTATAGGATAGCACCAAAACATATCACATAGGAAAGCTCCAGGGGTTATAATTTTGGATCAGGCTATTTATAGACAATTTTGGCATAACAAAGAATGTGCAAAACATAAAAAAATATTAATTCGCATTTCGCAACAGGTAATTAATAGAAAATTTTGGGACAAAAAAAATATGAAAAACATGAAAAAGTATTCATTCGCATTGGAGTAAAATTGCACCTCAATTACGAACTTAAAAAGTCTATAAAGGGAAATTTTCTAACACTGTCTATGTTTGCTTTACAGCCAATACTGTTACTGCTCTCACCTTCTCGTCTGCACTCAACCTTTATACGTGTTTTTTTAATTTTTTTTGGTTGAGTTCACCATCTTCTTCGGCTACAATCGATGACATGTTAAGAACTATTGCATATTAATTACCTTTTCTCGTCACACTTGTAAATGGAACTGCAATTTACATACTTGAAATAAATTTGATAACTAAAAACTATACAATTTATTGCTTTGTGCAACGTAATTTAATGCTTTGTGTAATGTAATTTAATGCTTTGTGTAATGTAAAATTAAAAACTATTGCATATTTAGTTACCTTTCTTTAGTACACTTGTAAATAGAATTGTAAATTAAATACTTAAAATAAATTTGATAATTAAAAATTGTGCAATTTAATGCTTTGGCCAATGTAATTCAATGCTTTGATCAATGTAATTTAATGCTTTGTGTAATGTAATTTAATGCTTTGTGTAATGTAATTTAATGCTTTGTGTAATGTACTATTAAAAACTATTACATATTTAGTTACCTTTCTTCAGTACATTTGTAAATGGAATTGTAATTTAAATACTTAAAATAAATTTGATAATTAAAAATTGTACAATTTAATGCTTTGGGCAATGTAATTTAATGCTTTGTGTAATACAATTTAATGCTTTGTGTAGTGTAATATTAAAAGCTATTGATTATTTAGTTACCTTTCTTCAGTACACTTGTAAATGGAATTGTAATTTAAATACTCAAAATAAAATTGATAATTATAAATTTTTCAATTTAATGCTTTGTGCAATGAAAAAAGAAAAAGAAACAAAAAAAGAAAACAAAAAAGGTGATTTGAAGGTTTGTGACAAAAAAAAGAAAAAGAAAAACTCTTTTCCTCACGTGCCTGAAAGGTGTAAAGAGATGAAAGGTAACTCAGGGAAATCTAAACTTTAATTTCGATTGCTTATTAATACTATTAATTTGATAAATACGATTTATTTTTATATGTTGTTTGATTCGGGAGGAAAAATTAAAAATTGCCATTGGTTTTGCTATACCTATATTAGAAAAATACATGGAAAAAAATTAGAATATTTCGCAAAAGTTGTTATATCTGTGATTTGAATAGAAATTGCAATCGGTTTTAGTATTTATAAAGTGGACGGATGCATGACAATATAATTAAAATCCTTTTTTTAATGAATACTATCCCAACGAGTTATCTGTGCTCAAGTGATGTAATATCTATGATGAAGATAGATAGAAAATGTATTTGGTATTATTATCTGTGCTCAAGTGATGTAATATCTATGATGAAGATAGATAGAAAATGTATTTGGTATTAGTATTCTTAAAGTAGACGAATGGATAGAAGCACAATTAGAATTCTTTGAATTGTAAATGTGATATACTTGAACTTTCTCTGTATAATTTTTTCATACCTTTAATGACAATGAATAAAAATTGCTGTAGGTCTTAGCATTTTTAAAGTGAAAGGATGAATGGAAGTATAATTAGAAAACTTTGTACTAGTATAAATGTAATATCAATGAATTAATTTTAAAATCGAGGACTTAAGTAAAGTAATTTTGTCATTTTAAAAAAAATTACACATATCGTATATAAACAGCAATAGATGAGAAAACTTTCAGAGATCTGCATTAAACCAAATTAACTTATATTTCTAAGTAAATTTCTTAAAACACATTTATTTATTAATTTATTTCAAATATAAATGATAAAAATTGTTTAAAATTTAGCATATTTTTAAATACATACTTTCCGGATCAACATTCATTTACACAACAAATTTTTGATTTTGTTCATATGTATACTTGAATGTAAAAATTACATCATCTTAAGAAAACACTGATTAAATGGGTGTTATACGTCCATAGACTCTTACCATGAAGTAAATAGACTTCGATCGAATTATTTCTTTTAAAAAACACATTGGTGCGTTTTTGACTTATTGAGATTTAAGATTAGTAACAGTAATTAACTTAATAAAAGAGCTCTTATGTTTGTGTATGTCTTTCATAAATATTTTTGATAGAAACCGAATCAAACAAAAATAGTGCAAATATAAAAAAAACCTGTAATAATACCTAGAAATTATCTCTGATATGCATGCTTTTTTCATTATTTCGTTTTTGAAAAGGATTCTAAAAATATATGTCACGGCGAAAGACCGAAATCGGTGGTTGTTGATTTTCACCGGTGAATGTCGACAAACACCAAATATGTCGGTGAAAGATCGAATATTTCATTACATTCTTGTACATTCGGACCCTCACCGGTGTATGTCGACAATCACAGATATGCTTTGGTGAATGTCCGAAATATTTATTACATTCGATTTGATATGAATTTATTAGTGGATATAATTACATTTATTCGATATTTTAACCCTACACTGATGTTTTTTTAAGGTTAAGTGCCACTGCCCGGTATAAATTTGCCCGGTATACCCTACACTGATGTTTTTTTAAGGTCAAGTGCCATTGCCCGGTATATATTTGCCCGATACTCCAAACACTGATGTTTCTTCTAATCTATCGTCGGTAAGTCTTAAAATATAGAATAAATATAAATATATCAAATAAATATAATAATATTAAGGAAAAAATAATATAAAATTCGATATAACAAATATTTCGGACATTCACCAAAGCGACTATGTGATTGTTGACATTCACCGGTGAGAGTCAGAAATAAGGGTATTTAGCAAATATTTCGGACATACACCAAGCGACTACGTGAATGTTGACATTC